ATTCCGAAGCTATTTAGGAAATGTATAAAATAATGCTTCAGAGATTTTTTAATACGCACATATCCGAGGAAATGTATACTTTTCCTAGGAATTTTATAGAATTCCAATATTGTATTAGGAAATGTATAAAACTAAGCGGCACAAGCTCGGTCGCGTGATCGAGTGCCCCTCGGTACCTACGCCTAAAATTTCATTTAGCCAAACCACATTGGCCGATAGGTACTTTTAACTCACAATTATTATTGTTTAGCCTGACAGTTGCTTTCGCGCTATTATACTTTGGCCTAAAAAAATATTTGCCTAAAATTTATTGGCATACCTTCTTTCGGCATCACGCATATTACGCTGAAGTATTGGAAATCCTTAATTTTATCATCTCTTTTATTAAACTATTATTGGCATGAAGGTTTTAGTACTCCTGTAGCTGGATAACAAAATCTCGGTTAGGTTAGGTTAGACTTGCGACCTTACACATACACAGTTGCCGCGGCGCGGTAGCGCCATTTAAGTTTCGAAAAAAAAGGGGCGTAATAAAAATAATTTTGTGTAAAAAAAATTTACGCTTAAAATTTGTGTGCGTACAAAAAATTTGGCGATTCGATAGAGACCCCGCGTAATCGGATGATTCAATATCCTCCCCTCGCACCGCATGTCCACGCGTATTCATTGAAATCTTAATTACATTTCCGTTTTCTGTTTAGGAAATGTGTAATTTTCCTAGGAAATGTGTCTAATATAATTTACATCACACATTTCCGGGTGATTTTAGGACTTATACACAATTCCTAGGAATTGTATACAATGACGGATTTCATACATTTCCTGTAACATGGATAATTTTTGTATTATTACTCCATTTTCTTCTATAAACTTTGAATTTTTGACAAATTTCAATATCTAATTACAACGTGTGATATATCATTGGAAAGAAGAGAAGCTAGAGATATTTTTAAGATCATTGGCGATTGCCAATGGATTCATTATCACCATTAATTTTTGTTTCAATCGAATTCGAAGTAGAATTTTTTATAGTGGTTTGTACTTTTGTTAGACTTTGGCGGCTCGTAACTAGCTATTCAATCATTATTTGGATCAGAAATTTATTTTATTTGAATAAAGACATATTCGATATTAATTACAAATAAAAAAAACTGTTGAAATCACGCGAGAAAAAAAAATTGAAGCAGTTTTTAGGTCAAATTTCGGAAAAATCTGAAAAAAGTATAAAAATTGACATATCTCCTAAACTATAAAACTTTAGCTGTAGAAAGTAAGGTTCAATAACACTAGTTTACAAAAAAAAAGATTTTCTTTTACCCAAAGATAATTCATATTGGATGTGTTTTCTACCAGCCCCCTTATTACAAAAATATATGTCTCATATTTTTATCACGTCTAGTTTTTGAGATATCCACATTAACCTAAGTAAGCTGTCTTGTTAGCCGTGTCGGAGTTTGTACTTTATTTTAATTGCGTTTAAGTATTATTTTAACATTTTCACTTGTTTTAAAATGTCACCAAGGCAGTGTAAATTAAGCCCAAATAACTTTTGCTAAGTTTGTGGTCAAATTATATTGTCAAAAAAAAAAGAGAACAATCACTGAGGCCGTAAAACGGGCCTATTTCTATTACTTTCAAATCTCGGTAACAAACCTGATAAAAAATGGGTTCCTGGTGTAGTGTGCGAAAATTTAAGAAGTATATTATTGCACTAGGCTGCAGGAAAAAGAAAACATATACCATTAGGCACCTAAATGTTATGGAGAGAACCAACAAATCACACTAATGACTGTTACTTCTGCCTCACTGAAGCTACAGGTTTTAACAACAAAAACCAAGAACATACAATATCCTGATGTTGCATCAGTCACAAAACCTGTGCTACAATCTGAAGGAGTTCTTTATCCGTCATTACCCAGCAATTCCAATAAGGGAAAGATGCTTGGTATTAATTTAAAGCAGTAGTGAAAAGTTTCCTGGGAAACTATAATTTTTTCTGAGAATTATGCAGAAATTGTTTCCAAATTATTGAGGAATTGCCAAAGAATGGGTGTGAATAAGTCGTTAAAAATTCATTTTTTACATTCTCACCTGGATTTTTTTCCTGAGAATCTGGGAAGCGTGAGTGTTGAGCATGGTGAAAGTTTTCACCAGGATTTGAAGGTTTTTGAGGGAAGATACCAAGGAATTTGGAATAAAAATATGTTAGCGGATTGCTGTTCGTCTATAATAAAGGAAACTGATACTAATCAGTATAAAAGAAGGAGTAACACGACTCATTTTTGATTGTTTTTAGAGATAAATGTATAAAAATGATAAAAATTAATATAATCAATATTTACAAAATTTGACGTCCTAAATTTTTTCTAAGTTCAGTTTTTAAGTAAGGGTTAATAACTCTACCGATACATATCAGTTTCATCTCTGGGTAAAAAACCTTGTAAACTAGTGTAATTAGCAAATGACCTCCTCTATACGTGTATTAGCTATGGCGGGTTCAGTTCCAGTCACCCTGTATACATCCGAGAAGTCAATCAATTTACATTCTTGCAGAATACCGTCATAATCTATTTTTGGTCTAAACCTGTTAATTTTGGATGGATTTGAACCACATTGTTCTAAACAAAAAAGTACTGCGTTGTGGTCCGTTACAGTAGAGTCTAGCACCAGGGATATTGATGTTGCCTTAGACCTAAGTATAACGTGGTCGATACAGTTGCCAGCACGAGTTGGAAGATCATAAGCAGGCAAAAGACCGTGATAAGCAAGGCTTTCTATATAATTTGTCGTGGAGGGTGAAGCCGGATCTAACAGATTAATATTTATATCCCCCACCACTATGACATTTTTGAAAGATGAAAATTTGGATATTAGTGATTGAAGAGAATTAATAAAATTATCTGTATTTTTGAAACAATGAGGTCGATAAATGGCTATTATTATAGTATCTGGATTCAGTTTGATTGTTAAACAGTTTGCTTCTAATACAAGTGGCTCTTGAACTTGACATGATAGATATTTTTTAACCATCACAATTAATCCGTCATTCTGGTTGTAATTATCGGTAGTACTGTAATTGCTATACCCATTCAGGGTTGGCAAACGATTTTCCTCAGATAGCCAGCACTCGGTTAGTACGATAACGTCGCAGTCCAAACTTGTACGATGTAGCAGAACACATAAATCACTAAAATTATGATTGATGCTTCGGATGTTTTGATGGAATATTGTACGATATGACCTGGGGTTTTTTATAAAGGACAAACATTGCTCTGGTTCACAGCTATAGGATTGAGATATATTAAAACTGCCAATACTGTCTATTATCTGACGTGTATTATCGAACTTTACTATACTGTTTCAGCAACGATGACTCAAAATTGTCACATTTTAGAAAGAAGATGACTTCGCATAGCACTGCAATTGGAGATTCAAAGAGAAAGTTGTATGATTGTGAGTGAGTGTAACTGAGTGTATGAGTTCTACGGACAAACAAAACAAATGACACGGCAATCAAAGTATTACGACAGAATATAAAAAATACAAAGCATTATAACCATTGCTAAAAAAGTTATTAAATTAAAGACAAAACTCGGGAGACAATAGAAAAACTTAAATAATATATAAAGTGTTACTAGTCATATTTTTTTCATGGCTTCAGACAAACACTTTTCAGTCTTGATGACGATTGGTCTAGCAGAAGGATCCATACGCAAGAGTATTTTTCCATGTGAGTGCCAGCAAGAAAAGTTGTGTTTTTTGGCAAGTTGGCGAGCATCAAACAACAGCTTTCTCTGTGATGGTGGAAGATATTCATCAACATATATGGGTTGTTTAGCACCCAGCAGACCAATTGTTTGCGTGTTGAGCTTATCTGGAACTGGCTTTCCCTTATTGAACTGGCGGACCTTGGCCAAGAGCTCGTTTCTTGCATGTACACATCCAAAATCTGCGACAATGGGCCTAGCAATGCCAGATTTACCAGGAATGCGATAAATGTCTCGAATGTTTGCTGGGTCCACATTTATTTCCAAAGCCTTGCCGATGCCTGACACTATCGCCAGCAGATCCTTGTGTTCCTCATTCGCAGTAAGTGGAACGTTTCGAATTTCAATGGTAGATTGTCTATTTTGGAAATGGATATCCTCTATCTAGCTTGTAAGCCTCTAATTGCCTCGCCATTGGCGCTCCTCTCTTTTTCTATATCAGATATCCTATTAACAGTCTCCTCGAAACTTTGATTTATAAACGCCATTCCCTTTTCTAAGTCTAAATTCGCTTTTTTTATGTCTTGGCACTCCTTCTTTAAGTGGGATACCTCCGTTACCAACTTTGACAGCGTACAATCAAGGTGACTCTTCCATTCACTCAGCTGCCGTTCCTGATCCTTTTTCCAGCTAGATAGCATATTGAGTACATCAGCTCTTAAGTCGCCGGTGTTCTGAGATGCCCAATCGGCACCTGACTTATCAGGCGAAGAGTCCATTTTCTGGCGTTTAGACCGCGTAGTAATGTTGGTATCTTCACTGCTGCTCTGCAACAAGTCTGACTCAGACCGCGAGCCAGACAGCGCCAATGTGACAGGAGGGGGAGAACGACGTAAGTTGGGCATAGTAACACAGTCAAACAGCTTCCAATTCTCAGCCAGTAAGACTCAAAATCCCTCACACAACACTACACCGCCAATAAATTCGTAGCCATACACACAAACCGTAGTCCTTCGTAGCTCGTAGCGCGGCGCGTAGCACGTTTCTGATGTCGTAGTAAGTATCACTCGGTGCTTAATTTCGTCGCTGCGTTGGTGTCGTCTGTTAGCTCAGCGCACAATCAGTCCGCGCCGAGTCCGGAGATCCGGGTTCAAACCCACACAGAACACATTTTTAATTTTTAGAAAACTTTAATTTGTAGAAATAAACGGCACGGTGGACACGTCCAAACGCTATCGCGGTCCGGGGGGAAGAGTTAAATCAATCACAGTATTTACATAACGTTGTTCTCAGTTCCAGCGCGCATCGCGTCGTTCGGGCGCCGCCTAGCCGTGGGAGCAGGGCGCGCGGCGCTCCTAGCGTGCAGTTGCGTGGGCGCACCTCCGCCGCGGTCGCGCTGGGCGCACGCGCGCGCGCCCGTCACGCACCACGCCTACTACCAGGTCACGCACAGCGGGCACCTGCACATACGAGGTAGGTGATGACAGTCTACTCTTGATCTATCAGTCCCAGCTATGGTTGCCAGATGCCCGGGAAATCCGGGATTGTCCCGGAATTTTGCGTCTTGTCCTGTGTCCAGTAATTAGACATATAGTCCCGGATTTCCGAAAACCTAATAGTTTTGTGTCAAAATAAACTAATATGTAATAACAAATGACACGGCTGGCCTGCCTGCGAGTCCTATTATATGTACGTTGACGTACATTACTTATTTAATAAAAGTGTGTATTTGAAAATAAATGGCATTTTTCTTTTGAAATACAAATTAAATCATTTGAGAAACCAAGATACTTTTACTATGGCCAAGTCCCAACACCGTTGTCCTAGTAGGATTGTCCCGGATTTGGTAAGTTTCCATCTGGCAACCCTAGTCCCAGCACGCATCGCGTCGTTCGGGCGCCGCCTAGCCGTGGGAGCAGGGCGGGCGGCGCTACTGGCGTGCAGTTGCGTGGGCGCACGCGCGCGCGCCCGTCACGCACCACGCCTACTACCAAGTCACGCACAGCGGACACTTGCACATACGAGGTAGGCACATTGGTGACGATCAGGGAGCGTAGTTTTGCGGCCGCCCGCGACTTCGTACGCGTGGATCCCGTTTTACCCCCTTCATTTATCTGACACGGTTTAGATTTTTTCATACAAATGTTTTTTATTTATTTATTTATTTATTAGGTACACCAACAAAGTCACATACATAATACAGTTCATATATGGATCATTTTAAGATGAATCATTTTAAGATGGTTTAACACATGATGCGTATATTATGACCTTAATTACTATTATTTTTTCCCGCTAACTCCCGTTCCCGTGGGAATTTTGCAATATCCTGTTGTAACTAAGCTTTTAGTTTACTAAGATACCTGAATACCAAATTTCAAGCATCTAACTTAAGCGGTTTAGATTTTTCATACAAAAGGATTTTCCCGCTTATTCCCGATCCCGTGGGAATTCCTAAGTATACTATAACCTGCCCAGGAGTATGAAGAATAATTGTACCAAGTTTCGTTAAAATCCGTCGAGTAGTTTTTGTTTCTATAAGGAACATACAGACAGACAGACAAAAAATTTACTGATTGCATTTTTGGCATCAGTATCGATCACAAATCACCCCCTGATAGTTATTTTGAAAATATATTTCATGTACAGAATAGACATCTCTACAGATTTATTATAAGTATAGACAAGGCTGGTACTCAATCACACCTGGTGTTAAATGGGATGCAGTCTAGGATGGTACATATCTGCCCTGTAAGTGCCTATTCACTCTCGCCTTGAAAAGATCCGGATTATAGTCTTCGGAAAAGACAGCAGCAGGCAGCGAATTCCAGTCCCTAGCTGTTCGCATTAGTCTGAGTTTAGGAGATTCTACGTCAAACGCATTCGATGAAAAGTGACATTAAATGTATGACGGATTGTACAGCACACCTAGCGGAAACTTTCAAGAACTAACATCTTCATAAATTATACTTTTAACGCGCTCGCTAGTGACGACGTTTGATGTAGCCCTCAGCTCTAGTGTAAACAAGATCTACTCGTAATGATCCCACTGCTACCCAGTGAATTATTTTGAGATTTATGATATTAGCAGAAGAGGAATGTTCTTGAGCGACAAACACGTACTGGAGGATGTAGGGTAGGTATAGTCCTCCTGGACTTATTTAGCATTGAAAAAAGCGGCTAGTAAGCTAGTCACATGTCTCGAATAGCTCGAAGACTGACTAGAATTCTCTCCTACAAAGCTTTTTCACTAAATGCCGAAGGACGGGGCCTACTCACATCAGCTCGACAATGTCCACTGGAGCCCAATAAAACGGAACCGCAAGTTGTTGTTCTAACGTGGGTATTCGCCCGTAGCTCCGTCTCAAGCTATCTTGCTCGAAAGCGAGCCACTCCAACTTCACGGCGTCCCCCAATTCCCTCCTTCAGTTGATCCTTTCGTACATCCAGAGAATCTTTAATTCACTTTCCAATAGGTTGCATTAAATTTTGCAAAATCAAACGCTGGTTGAGTTTCTTTTACAACATTCTTTCATTTTTCCTCCCGCAGAAGTGAACGAGCAATCCTCTGGGAACTTCACGTGCACAGCTTCCAACTCGATCGGCGAGGACTCCATCGTGTACTCGGTGGTGCTGGTGCGGCCGCCCGCGCCGCCCGCGCTCTCGCTGCAGTACACCACCGCCTCCAGCGCCAAGCTGCACTGGCAGCGCGCGCCCCTAGCCGCCGACCCTATACTCGGTACAGTACACACCGCCTCCAGCGCCAAGCTGCACTGGCAGCGCGCGCCCCTAGCCGCCGACCCTATACTCGGTACACACACCGCCTCCAGCGCCAAGCTGCACTGGCAGCGCGCGCCCCTAGCCGCCGACCCTATACTCGGTACACACACCGCCTCCAGCGCCAAGCTGCACTGGCAGCGCGCGCCCGACGCCGCCGACCCTATACTCGGTACACACACCGCCTCCAGCGCCAAGCTGCACTGGCAGCGCGCGCCCCTAGCCGCCGACCCTATACTCGGTACACACACCGCCTCCAGCGCCAAGCTGCACTGGCAGTACTAAGTTTTAAAAAGGAAAAACCGTATTTTGGAACCAAACTACAAACAAGGTGATCAGTAGGGTGATGGAGATAAAGCAAGCTGTACTCAAAGTTTTTTTACATGATCTAATCACAAATTAGGTGATCCATAGAACTAAAGTACCTGCATAGATAACAGAGAGGCTAAGATTAAATCTTGGGACAGACACATTGCCAGTTAGTAAAATAAGAAAAAAAAGAGGAAGACTTACTTAAAATAGATTTTCAGTAGTTAGGGCTTGCTTTTAATAACAATCTTACACTGTGGGTGCAGATGCGATCAATGATGGAGCGAGCTTGACCAGACGATGCCTTTTCACTCGTGTCTTGAAGGCCTTAATCATTTCGTCATTTGACTCTAATCTGCTATTAACATTTAGCTTGTCACCTCTTCCAGGCTACCTCCTCCACTACAAGCAAGCGGCAGAGACGGACTGGCACACGGTGGAGCTGTCGCCGGAAGTGACGTCGTACACCTTGGACATGCTGAAGTGCGGCTCCACCTACAACGCCAAGATCCAGGCGAAGAACAAGATTTCCATCGGGCCGCCCAGCGACGTGCTCACCGCTACCACTAGAGGAGGCAGTGAGTGGATTTTCTAATTATTCTTGAATTTGAACTTTACCTTTTTCTTAACTAAGAAGACCTATTTTTCATATCATCATCATTATCATCATTTCAGCCATAGGACGTCCACTGCTGAACATAGGCCGCCCCCATGATTTCCATAGTGACTGATTGGCAGCGGCCTGCATCTAACGCCTTCCTGCTACCTTTATAAGATCGCTACCTTGGACGTCCTATGCTGCGCTTTCCGGTACTAATGAGGGCTATCGTTTTTATACTTAACAGTTGGCACCCCTGGCTATTGACAGGACCTTAGTCTACAGTGGCGCCATCTTGATGAGTGCAAATGCAATAGTCCTCCTACCACTTTAGCGCTCACAAGTTGGCGCCACTGTCTTCGCGACTAGCAAGTGACAGGACCTTACTCTACAGTGGCGCCAACTGGTGAGCGCTAAAACGATAGCCCTCATTGGCTTCCACCCCTCTCTCCTCCACTCTCATATAACTGATATCATTTTCGTCATTTAGATTCATAAATTGCCGAGAGTCAACAGTCACAGAGTCACAGATTACTGTAGATTACATTTTTTTACACAACATAAAGCTATAGAGGGCGTTATTACATACTACTAACAATTCAGAGTTGTTTAATAATTTTACTAGATGACGTTACCTTACCAGTCCTCGATAATTTTACAGTTGTAACAATTTCCTTTTCCAGGACCAAAACCCCCGAAACCAGAGGACCACATCCACATGAACTCAACAGCGATCAAGATCAACTTCTACGCGTGGCGGGACGGCGGCTGTCCCATCCTCGGCTTCCGGGTGTCCTACAGGAGAGCAGGGACCGAGCATTGGATCAAAGTAAGTCAACCTATTATAAAGCACCTACCGGATAGTAGAACACCTTGCTTTTTATTCTACAGGCCCCTCTTTCCCTCTGGGCACTCTGGGCAGGTGCCTGTTACCTGCGGGGAGTCTTAATTTGCTCTCAAAAAAGTTTATGTATTTTTTCGAGCTAAACCCAGCCCTTTGGTAAAAACCAAGCCTTCCCTATTTTCCGTGGGGAAATGCTGGCCAATCGGTACAATCAATGGGTTACGTACGTGGAATTCTCCTTGCCAGAAGGGCGAGGTCTACCTACTAAAACCCGACGGTGTCTTTCGCTTTCATTGACACGAATCCGCGAGTTATTTTTTTCCTAAAATTGGACATTCGTTCATAAAATTAAAAATTCATTTATTTTTGCAAATAGGCTTTTAGAAAGCACTTTTACACGTCCCAATATTAACCCTACCACTGCTTCGGGACAATAAATGGGCCAGTGCTGAGAAGATGCAGAGCAAGAAACTCAGTCACTATGGTCAGCCTCCTTTTCAAGGGTTTACAGTCTTTAAAATATACAAAATATTATAGTCATAAGTATTGATGCGAGCTAGGTAGTTAAACATTCCAAACATTTTTATCTTTTATATAATCATCAACTTTATAGTAGCCCTTTTTCATTAAGGTGCTTTTGATATGTGCTTTAAATTTATGAATGGGCAATTCTACAACAGTTTGTGGTAATTTATTGAAAAGTTCGTGGCTCCAGGCTACACTCGCTCTTGAGAGTCTTTCCGGCTTCAAGGGGAATGAAGCTATTTCGAATTGGCAGAATCTCTGAATAGCACTTAACTTGTTGTGTTCCAGGTCGGCGACGAGCTAAGTTCGGCGAGCCACGTGATCGGCGAGCTGATGCCGGCCACGTGGTACGAGCTGTCGGTGGAGGCCTACAGCGACGCGGGCGCCGAGCGCGTCACGCTCTACGCCGACACCTACACGCTGGCGGGAGGTGAGCGAGACGTGTGACGTCAGCACGAGTGCGAGCCACGTGTCGGCGAGCTGATGCCGGCCACGTGGTACGAGCTGTCGGTGGAGGCCTACAGCGACGCGGGCGCCGAGCGCGTCACGCTCTACGCCGACACCTACACGCTGGCGGGAGGTGAGCGAGACGTGTGACGTCAGCACGAGTGCGAGCCACGTGTCGGCGAGCTGATGCCGGCCACGTGGTACGAGCTGTCGGTGGAGGCCTACAGCGACGCGGGCGCCGAGCGCGTCACGCTCTACGCCGACACCTACACGCTGGCGGGAGGTGAGCGAGACGTGTGACGTCAGCACGAGTGCGAGCCACGTGTCGGCGAGCTGATGCCGGCCACGTGGTACGAGCTGTCGGTGGAGGCCTACAGCGACGCGGGCGCCGAGCGCGTCACGCTCTACGCCGACACCTACACGCTGGCGGGAGGTGAGCGAGACGTGTGACGTCAGCACGAGTGCGAGCCACGTGTCGGCGAGCTGATGCCGGCCACGTGGTACGAGCTGTCGGTGGAGGCCTACAGCGACGCGGGCGCCGAGCGCGTCACGCTCTACGCCGACACCTACACGCTGGCGGGAGGTGAGCGAGACGTGTGACGTCAGCACGAGTGCGAGCCACGTGTCGGCGAGCTGATGCCGGCCACGTGGTACGAGCTGTCGGTGGAGGCCTACAGCGACGCGGGCGCCGAGCGCGTCACGCTCTACGCCGACACCTACACGCTGGCGGGAGGTGAGCGAGACGTGTGACGTCAGCACGAGTGCGAGCCACGTGTCGGCGAGCTGATGCCGGCCACGTGGTACGAGCTGTCGGTGGAGGCCTACAGCGACGCGGGCGCCGAGCGCGTCACGCTCTACGCCGACACCTACACGCTGGCGGGAGGTGAGCGAGACGTGTGACGTCAGCACGAGTGCGAGCCACGTGTCGGCGAGCTGATGCCNCACAACGAGGAAGCTCTTGGCCTGTATCTCACCTGATGGTAAGTGACGATCAGGCCGAAGGTGGAAGCGAGCTTCACCTGGAATCCTCAACCACGGAGGAACTGGCTATCTTACCTCTAACTGCCGGAACACAACAATGCTGTTAACATTGTTGTTATGGCGATAGACTTAGGTAAGATGGTGGTAGCTAGCCAGGCGGACTTAGAACAAGCCCTACCACCAACCAAACCGAACAGAAAAATCTGCCCCCACTGGGAATCGAACCCGGGACCTCTGCGTCTGAAGCAGGTGGTCTTACCACTAGACCACAGAGGCGGTTAAAACCTTTTCGCTACCTTTAGAGGTTGTCGGTCTACCTTGTGGGTGGACGTCACACGCTGCGTTTTCTGGTACTTGTGTTACCAGTGATGACATATTAATATGGCTCTGAAATGTGGCCTCTCACTATAGGCCTTTTATAGAAGCTCAAAGTTGTACAGCATACTGTGGAAAGGGCTGTTCGGTGTTTTTTTACGTGATCTTCAAATCAGAAATAAGGGGTCACGAGTCGGCGAGTATTTTTAATATTTTATTTGGTTATTTTTTTATTACAGCAGTCGCCCGGCAAGCGAAAGATCGTGGGTTCGATTCCCGCCTTAGGCAGTTCGATTTTTTCAAGTTGTTTATTTAAAATTAGCGGCCGCCCGCGGCTTCGGATGCGTGGATTCCGTTTTACCCCCTTAGGGGTGGAGTTTCATAAAATCCTTTCTTAGCGGGATGCCTATGTCATAAAATCTACTTGCATGGCAAATTTCAGCCCGATCCGTCCAGTGGTTTGGGCTGTGCGTTGATAGATCACTCAGTCAGTCAGTCAGTCAGTAACCTTTGAGTTTTATATGTATATGTCAACGCGAAATTGTGAACTTCGTCAGTTTATAATATAACGCGTGAGATTGTAAACTAACAGTGGGTTAGGTTAGGTTAGGTTAGATTGTAATCTAACTACGTCAGATTAAATTCACAATGTTATGGTGACATATAGATTTTGATTACCATTTTAAACCGTGCATTCCAGGGCGCATCCCGCCGCTGAAGCCGTCGTCGCCGCTGGCGGGCGCGGCTACGGGCCGGACGCGCGCGGTGGTGCTGGCGTGCGCGGCGGCGGCTCTGGCGCTGTTCGCGCTGCTGGCGCTCGCCACCTGCCTCGTGCACGGACGGGCCAAGTACGTGCTACATAATGAGGGCTATCGTTTTTATACTTAACAGTTGGCACCCCTGGCGATTGACAGCACCTTACTCTACAGTGGCGCCATCTTGATGAGTGCAAATGCGATAGTCCTCCTACCACTTTAGCGCTCACCAGTTGGTGCCACTGTCTTCGCTACTAGCAAGTGACAGGACCTTACTCTACAGTGGCGCTAACTGGTGAGCGCTAAAACGATAGCCCTCATTGGGGGTGTATCCCACTAAATTTCCATTTTCCACTGCAGTAGAAATAGTGAAACATTTTTTTTCCAAATTAATTCCCATTATTTCCATTGCAACAAAATAAGGGCGCTTAGACGAACGCCGCTCAAACGGCGGCATCGTGTACACAGACTCTAATATTTATGGCGGCTTTGTATACATTTTTTTAGAAATATTGAGAAATTGATCATTTTTTATTGATAAATTAAACACGGGAAGTGATGTAGCGGTTTTTTTTTGTCGTCGCGTTGCCGTCAAGTACCGCCCCAGCCCAGCATTGAAATAGTGAGAGAACCTGTCCCAGTATTTCCATCAATAGAAATTCGTAATGGAAATAGTGGGATACACCCGTAATTCGTAGGCCTAGGATGCGCGCCGCGATAACATTTTATCGATTTTACGCGATAAGCCCATACGTTTGTCGTCTAAAATCATCGACAAGATTTTGTCACGGCGCAGATCCTGTTTAAATAGACTTTGAAAGCAGGTCGGCAGTATGGACAATCCGTTCAAGTGGGGATTCTTAGATAGTTCAAACTTGGAATGCAAGTGTGGTTGTGTTTCCCAGTCGAAGAAGCACATGATGTCTTACAAACAACTGAACACATGAAAATTTAATTAATGCAGTAGCATTATCAGTAGATAACGCCACTCTTGTAGCGGAGTTCTTTGGGCTTTCACTGTAGATTTGTTGTCGACAAGTAGATGAAGATTATTGTAAATTAAATTGTTTCTTAAAAACTATTTCGCATTTTACAGGTTCATTTGTGTCGAGAATGAGCTGTATGAGAGAGAAAATAGAAAACTAAGCGAAAGCAACGAAGCAGAGAGGGAGAAACTAAGAGAAGGACAGAAACTTTACTCCTCGTCGTCAATAAATGGCAATGAAAAGTCAAACGACGACTCTTCAGGTAATCATATTCTTAGAAGGCATTACTCATTAATAAATAGTAAAATTATATTGAATTATTGAACTGTAACAATCCGATTTATAAGGTCGTCGTTCCACCTAGTGATTGGACGTTCTACGTTCCGCTCGGAATATTAAAGTGCAATTCCCTTGTAGTCATCCCATTTTTTGCAGGCTCCTGTTTGTTAATATGAACATCCCGTTTGCATTGTCCCACAAAACCGAATCGTTTGGATTTAGAATTACAATATTAAATTCGTACATGTGTGTTCAGATGACAGTCCAGTTCTGCGGAATTCTGCATTACTGGATTCCGCTAAACTGGATTGCCGTGGAAACGGGCCTGTATGAATAGCACTTATGGTAACCGTTAAAATTGTTTGTCTATAATAAATTGTGCCAATTAACTTTCAAACACCTTAACCATCTCGTGTCCCTTGCAGCAATACTATACAAGATCTGGGCCCGAGCGGGTTGCTCAGCATAGAACGACATTTTGGACCTTGTCTATTACTCACACAGGTGCAAGGTGTTATAGCCCGGTCGTCGAGTACGTAGAATTTCGTCCAATGACCCGAAGTTACCCATCCTTATCGCTCGCGCGTAATTATATTGCTGTCGCGACTGTGCGCGAGAGCAATATGCGCGAGCGATAAGGGTGGGTAGCTTGGGGTCATTAGACGAAATTCTACGTGCTCGGCGACCGGGCTTTAGTAACATTGCTAATCATGTCGCGTTCTTCGCAGAGCTGTACGAGATCAGCCCGTACGCGACGTTCGGCGCGTCGGCGGCGCACGCGCTGCAGCTTCGCACGCTGGCGCGCCGCGAGCTCGACGCCGCGCCGCCGCACCGCCGCCGCCACCGCGCCTGCGACCACTACCGCTACGGTAACTAGAGATGGGTAACCACCCGGGCAAAACCCACATGAGGGTAAAAACCCAATAAAAACCCGTTTCATTCCACCCGTGGGTGTTTACACCGGGTGAAAACAAATATGGGGGATGCCAAAGATGCCAAACTCTCTCTTTGATGACATTACGGTATAAAGTTACAAATAACAACACCAACTACAAAGTATTTCTGCTTAAAAACTTGAAATCGAACCGCCCTTCCGCCACTGTAACGCATTGTAACGTTTTTCAAGACCTCCTCTCCCCCCAGATTGCATTACGTAACACTAGAACGCCCCCTTAGCAACAAATACCACTTCTCACTTTAAAAAAAAAGCTATTTTTGTTTTCACCCACCAGAATTGGTAATAATGGGTAAAAACCGGGTTCTTACCCAAATCACCCAGTTTTAACCCAATCGGGAGAAATGGGTTTTTACCCACTACCCATCTCTAACGGTAACACGTGACATAACATGCGCCGCACCGCGCCTGCACAGTAGATATATGAGCTAAAGCAGTACGGAAACTTAGCCCTTTCGGCGAGTTAAATACCTACACTTCAATTGAGTGTTAGGGTTGGCACTCTTAATCTTTATAAAATTAATAAGGTTCTGACTTACTTATTTATTAAAACGTTTATTTAGGTTTTTTAATTATCAAATACCTAATGGAATAAATTAATTGACTAATAGTTAACAAAAAAATAAAACGTTAATTAGGTTCTATAATGATCGAATACATAATCGAATAAATTGATTAAGTCTATCTACTATTAGAGGCCGGTAGAAGATATTCTATTCTCATAAATAAAATACCCGGATACTTACTTTCACATAGCTATTGCCTCATTTCAAATTTCATCACTTAGTAGGTACAAAAGCGCGCGGAGCAAATTACTTTATCAAATAGAACACATAAATTGTTAAAAAGCGTAATTACGTAATTTAAAAAGAACTATTACAAAATCAGATGTAAGCACTTTATTTAAAAAGTAATATTTAATCATTTTTACAATTCAGAATTAGGTATTACGAAGTTTAAAAAATGAAGTTCTGGTTTTGAAGATGCCGAGTTCAAGCAGCCATAAACTACGCAATACACTCGTGGCATGTTTTTTAAAAATACAGCGGACAGTGCATGCAATAAAATTACTTATTATTAAAAAAAACAACGCGCGCGACACTCGCGACGGATGGACTGCGAGGTTCGCTTAGAGCTCGTGTAAAGCGTGCGTCTGTGTGCGTGAGTCTGATTTCGAGCGTTTGTATGAAGCTTCCGTACTGTTTGATTTATCTACTGTGGCGCCTGCGACCACTACCGCTACGGTAACACGCGACATAACACAAACCTTCACTGGTTGGGTTTCATGTACGCTGGCGCGCTGCAACTACCGCTACGGTAACACAAGCGACACACGACAAAGCCTTCACGAATGACCACAATAATTCACGTTCTAAAGTCCGGTCTCCAAGCACATAAAATTTCGTCCAATGACCCTAATCTTACCAATCCTTATCGCTCGCGCGTAAATATTGCTGTCGCGACTGTGCTACGGGCGACTACAGTGAGTGTGCGAGCAATATGATTACGCGCGAGCGATAAGGATGGGTAGCTTGGGGTCATTGGACGAAATTTTATCTGCTCGGCGACCGAACTTTAGATAAAGTCAAATCACTTCTTTATTATCATCATAGGTGGAGTACTTATTGCATCCATGATGTTCTTCGAATGGCATACAATAGACTGTACTATAATAAGCAATCCCCCGGAACTGCTCAACCTTCACTGGTTGAGTTTCATTGGAGGCCAAACTGTAGATCCTCCTGGCTATATAAGAGGTGCAGTGGTGGGAAACAATTCCTTTGCGGATGCCTGAGACAGAATTGACTTTAAATATTATAAAATAAATAAAGATTGAACTCGTAAACAGATTTCAAGTAGATAATCTATGATATTAATGGATATAAAAGGCCCAACCAATACGCTCTGTAGCGAGACATCTGCTGAAAGTACAGCTCTAAATTCGTTAAATATGTGGAGAAGAGAATCTAGCATCTATTTCTGCAGCATAAGTAGGTATATCGTGCAAGATTTTAAGCGGCTGAAACTACAGCAGATGTGTCCTAACAGTAGTAAATTAAGTCCCTATCAAAATTCCCCCGCACCCAATTGGCAAGCCTCAGTTTGACACGTGCCAACGAGGCCGTTTCCGCCGCAGACGAGTCGAGCCTGTCTAAATGCTCGACAGTGGAGGCGCGCCACCGCCTGCGCGCGCCCGCCGGCGCCTGGCGCGACGCCCACACCGACTCCGACGACAACAGCGACTCCGCCGCCAACACCACCACCAAAGGTACTGCGTATGCTCCGATACCACTGCCCAGTGCCTCAACTAAAGCCCGGTCTGTGAGCACGTAGAATTTTGTCCAATGACCCCAAGTTACCCATCCTTATCGCTCGCGCGTAATTATTGCTGTCGCGACTGTGTGACGGGCGCCCGCAGTGAGTGTGCGAGCGCGACAAGAACATAATTACGCGCGAGCGATAAGGATGGGTAGCTTGGGGTCATTGGACAAAATTCTACGTGCTCAGAGACCGGGCTTTAGTGTAGGTGGAGCGCTGAGCAGTGCATATCGGAACATCCCATTGTGAAATGCCACACTGGCGGATTGCATGCGCCGCATTGTCTTCGCCGCGTTCGCGGTTTTTCGCGTTTAAACGCTTGCAATTCGCCAGTGTGGTAAGGCCCTAATTATCACTAAAAAGTAGTAAGGCCTGGTTCCACTAACTTTTATTATTACACACTGGACTGGCTGCTGTCATAATATTTTTGTGCCTATTTGAGTTTCGCCATTTTAGCGCTGTAGGCCTGTAGGCAGATACGATTGTCCATGGAACTATAATAAAATTAGTGATATTCTTATTCGTTTACTCCATACATTGTACGGTCAATCTCGGGATAATCGTTCAAATTGGCACACAAAATTAGCTGTCAATTGTATGGAGACAGCCTTTATCAGTAATGTAATAATACAGGTCAGCAATTCAGACACGCAGTGCCGGATTAACCCATAAGCGAATTAGGGCTATAGTTATAACGCTCACCACTTGGCGCCCCTGTACTTAGAGTAGGGTGGCGAAGACAGCAGCGCCAACTGGTGAGCGCTGAAGCGATAGGAGGACTATCTCATTTGCACTCAAAGATGGCGCCACCGATGCCTAGTTAGTAGAGCATCAGAGCCCCGATTACGGTAACTTTTATAACGTCTACAATCCAGACGCGTTTCTGATTCTGCGATACGATTGGTCAAAACAGCTGACGTACGCTGTTGAACGACCAATCGTATCGCAGCGTCGATGAAGCGTGTCTGGATTGTAGACGTTAAAAGTTACCGTAATCGGGGCTCTGGTAGTTAATCCGGCACTGAGATACAGCGATAATCGCGCGGTTGCTGGACCGTTCTCGTACATTTTTACTATGCCTAAAATCTCATAGATTTCATACGAATACTATTCTTACATCTACAAACCTACGCTTCAGTTTACATACACACGTCACTTTTATGTTTTGTTATTATAAATTATTTTAAATTAGTACATCTTTTAGTAACTTTTCCATTCCCGCGGAAATATTGTGCAAACTTTAAAAATTAGCAAAGATTTCCCGCGTTTCTGAATTTTGACACATTGATTTTAGTGATGTGCACGTATTTAAAAGTAAATCGATGATCGAATTTAAATGATTACCTCCTTACTAATAAAACTTACACGCTCGTTGAAGTGACGGTTAGTATGGAAATATAATTTTAAAACAGTGTTCAACAACTGTGTAACTTTTTATTAGTAAGGGGGTTGATATTCAGTATTTAGTTTGAAATAATGTTGTTATGGATTAATTATGATTAAATTGCATTTTCTGTACCAAACTTTTTTCTGAAAATATTAAATTGATATTGTCAGGGTCCGGCGGCTCCCCGTGCGGCAGCACGTACGGCAGCGGGCGGCGCAGCGCGCGCACCACCAGCAGGTAGAACCCAGGTACTTCCCCCGCTCACTCCGCCTCCACGCACCTCCGCAACACAAGCACACTGACGATTGCGATAGCTGCTGAAATAGTCATAGAAAGTAGTTGACTCTTTTATTATACGATCGTTATTTTTAAACAGATTTTTGAGTAATTACATCGCAACAAAAGAATACTTACGTTTAAATTGTTGATAGTATCAGTTGTGTTATGCATGCATGCAAGAACATTACTAAAAAGATACTAATCAGCTTAAAGTTTTTCGTAAAATGTAACAACCGAATTTTGTTTAGCCTTGTGTATTCTCAGCCTTTTTATAAGTAGGTAGGCAGGATGTGTACCTACGTCGATTAGATTAGCATAATACCCAGAGATATGGCTTTACTTGAAAAACCATCACGCTAGCTAAGCTTCACTACTTTTTGTAGAACTATCTACATTAATGCAATGTTATGATAATTAATTTATGTCTAACAGTGGAGGCCCAAACGGGAGCGATGGGCTTTCAGGAAGCTTTGCCCCCATTGCCGCAGATATATCGTCATTAATCGATAAGTATGTATACATTTTCTATATGTTAAACTATTGATTAAAGTCTATATCAAATCAATATCGTTATTATGGTTCATTTTTCTAGTGTTTTTAAAAAAAAACGTATTTATTGTAAGTTCAAAAATTATCTTTGTAATCTCTCATTAAACTTACTCTTATTTTTTTCACAATTTTGAAAGTATTATGTAGGTACTGAAGATGAAAATATTATGCAGACTTTCAATGCCTTATATAATATACATTCATAATATTTATTCTACTTACAGATACCAACAAAGAAAAGAACAAGAACGTCGGGAATGTACTATCCACGTTTAACATTCCATGGTCCATTATAAAGTAAGAAACTTATAGTCTGCGATAACTTGATTTTGATTTTCATAACGATTCTAAGATTTATATACTTACATACTTAACTACTCAAATAAAATGATGTATTTCTTACAATGCTCAATCATTGTTTTCATCGTGTTTATCGTACAATTTCAATGAATCGATGGCATGATGTTATTTTTCACGAAACTGATCGTGACTACCCCATTGATGTTACAAAATATTGTTATTTACATTAATAAAAATTGCTATTTATTTTACTGTTAATCTGTGACAGTTTAGATTTTTAAAAGATTAACATGCAATTGTAAATATTAGCAAAAATAAGCTTAAAAATAGCGTACCGCTTGCTGCGAGATTGTTAAGCTATAGACGTTGATTTTTGTTGTGTTATGAGGGTCATCAAATGGCACTACAATTAATTGGCTCTGAGCGTCCAAATAATACTCTTTAGTTATTTTTATAATTAAATGAAAAATATGGAAAAAGTGTAGTCATTTGAAATAATCTCCCAGCAAGCAATTTTAATTCTACAATACATTAAGTGCATGTTTTTGTAAGAAAATTATAAAGAAGCTTTGAGCGAAACTTTTCTACAAAAATTATGAACTTATTACTTTTGTGGATAAGATAATATTAATTAATAGATAAATAATGTTAACGGCTGTTCCAAACTGCAAAATATACATATCATTAAAATAGACTGCCAACTTAATAATTAAGTGATTCATAATTCTTTTTACTGTATTGTTGATTAATATAGTTAATTAGCTATTAATTATACACTATTGTATAAAATCTTTCTATATACATGTTGTGTAATAATGAAATTATTAATTAGGGTGAAGGAGAAAATAAAGATGTGTGTTGTGGTATGAAGTTTGCCTATTTAAAATACCCAGACCCCATGAAAAAAAGCCAATGTTCGATACTAGTTCTCGCTATTCACGTGGTAGACGAAGAAGGATCGAATGTTCGGATTATTCCACTTTGTTCACCTAAGTGAAGATAGTGAAATTTTTAGTGTCCTCATTCACCTCTGAACAATTTCACCTAGTGTCTCATTTTCTAGGTGAATTGAGTTGTTTAAGGCTTGGTATTTCTGCTAAAGTCTACAAGGAGTCATATGAACTCCAGTTTTAAATCCGTTAACATCTGCTGCATCTGCCATCTTTTTGGCTAGAAGATTCTTCTATCTTACAGCTTAGACTATGCGTTATGCGTATTAGCGTGGAGATTATGGCAAAACCCTCCACTATAGTGGAGGAGGCTCATAGTCCAGCAGTGGACTGTAAAGGGCTGTTGATGATGATGATGACAGCTTAGACCTTTATCTACAGACCTTAGACAGTATTTTTTATTATTTATTTGTGTCAGTGTGCTCTTCTAAAGAGTGTAAGACGATTGTATGTAGGTACTATTAAAATGTAACATTGGTTTTGTCTCATATTTGAGGAATGTACTATGTATCATGAGTAGAGTCTTCGTTTAAAAAGATGCGAACGATTTAAATTTCAATAGGTAGACAAAATTGATAATTCTTAATTATCAAAAATTTAAGCTTTCTCCAGTAACACTGATATTATTATACTGTGACTCATCAAAGTCATCATTGTCAAAAATATTGACAAATCGCGAACTGTCACGGCCAAAAAACTGACACGCGTCCATCCTCCGTATAGTTCCAAAATACTGAACTGTCCTATCGATGACATTGACAGCGGGGCGCCACCGTCAATACCGAATCGCTGGTTCCGATTTTTGCCATGTTGGAAACCATAAAGTTGAACGATGGTAGCGCCCCCCTGTCATTGAGTTTGGCGGGACAGTTCAGCGTGGGTCATCTATACTGGACTGTCCTGTCGATGACATTGACAGTGGGGCGTCACCGTCAATACCGGATCGCTGGTTCAGATTTTTGCCATGTTGGAAACCATATTATAGTTGAACGATGGTAGCGCCCCCCTGTCATTGAGTTTGGCGGGACAGTTCAGCGTGGGTCATCTATAAGCGCCACCGCGCGACTGATTGAGATTGTCCAAGCCGTCATGGACGATTTTTCCACATTTTTTAACATTGTAACTAAATAAGACGCAATATAAAAATTTCATCCGTTAAAAGCCCTCAAGTTATTTCTGAGCTTTAGTTTAGTAAAAGATTTAGAATCTCAAATCGCTTATTTTAAAAATAAAACCATAAATAGAAAACGAATAGAGGTAACTTTGGGAATTTATTCTATCGAGTCAACTTCATCAAATCGTGTTTCCATCCGTTAATAGCCCTAGAAAATATCCTCAACTATGCCCAATAAAAATCTTAGCCTTTAATTTTACTGTTTAGTACCTCAAAAATGAAAAATGAAAACCTCATTTTCGCCATTTTCTCTGCTACCCGGCCTTAAAGCGGTCGCCTTTGTTCACCTAGGAATTAAAGCACCCAGGTATTCTCATCTGTTCATTTGAATGAATTAATTCCTAGGTGAACAAAGGCAACCGCTTTAGTCGAATCATTTCACCTGAGTGAAATGGTTCCGAGGTGAAAAGAGGACACTAAAAATTCCACTTTCTTAACCCAGGTGAACAAACTGGAATTCACCCAGGCCCCCTTAGATACTAAGTTATAATGATGTAGCCCCATGTTGGCGGCGTGTGTGTTAGTGAGTGGTGTTAATAATTAGAAAATGATTCAAAAAATCTAGCTAGGGTTCAAGTATAGATGGACTACACTGACCCATCCCACCCGTGACATTGGCAGGGGGGCGCCACCGTCAATACCGGATCGCTGGTTACGATCTTTCCCACGTTGGGAACTAATAACCCCCTTACTAATAAAAAGTTATACAGTTGTTGAACACTGTTTTAAAATGTTATTTCCATACTAAACGTCACGTTAAAACACTGTTCAACAAGCGTGTAAGTTTTATTAGTAAGGGGGTAAGTATAGGTAGTTGAACGATGGTGGCGCCACCAACTTGGCAAAAATCGGAAACAGCGATCCAGTATTGACGGTGGCGCCACCTGTCAATGTCACGGGTGGGACAGTTCAGTGTATTGGGTCTATTTTCAATTCGATTAAAAAATGGCATTTTTGTCTAGATCTACTTAACTGATTTTGTAGTGAACCCAGTCGAAAAATAGCTGGCAGGGTTAGGAATAATTCAGATAATTTATCTGATAAAAAACTGTAAGTTTTAAATAGTGTATAAAAAATAGTTGTCCACTGAATTTCAGGATAGATAGCCGATAGCACTGTTTATTAAATCGAATGAACATGCAAACACACTCGAGTCGAAAATCGAAACTGCACCCACAACGGGCCACAACAGTACTACAACACTAGTGTCGTTCCTTCTCTGAGGGTGAAATGTCGTTTGTTTGTCTTTATTCGATGATTGCAAAGTGTTTTAATAAATGTTTCCACTAAATCATCACAAAAATGATATATTCGTGCTTAATGTGTGTAGTGAAATAGATTTGAACGGTGACAAAAGGAAAATCACAGCGATAAGAAGATTGTTTTGATGCCATTCACCTATATTGATTTATCGTCATGCCAGTGACCTGTATTTCGTATTTGTAATAAGTTACTCGTAAATATTTAATAAACTCATTAGAAGACAGAGTCCCAATCACGAGAGATGAGTTTGCGGTAGTAATGGAGTGGCAGTGAAGTGTAACAAAAATGAGACTGGACTTGTTAGACGTAATGAAAAGATACTGTTTGATGTTATAAAACCTGTGCAAATAGTTGTTTTCGTTATGGTGTGTGAATTCCAAAATGATGACGCCTATTGAGGACAAAAAAGATGAAAAAGTAAGTCTAAATTCATATAAATTTCATACCACTTAAATAACAGCGGAAAGTTATTAGCCTTAGTTGTTTATTTAGGAGTTGTTGGTTTAGTAGTTGAAGGGTAACATAAATAAAACAAAACCAAATATTATTACCCTTTTAATTATCAGGTATTTATATTTAAGTCTTTTATGTGTTAATCATTAAAATCAGAACATTGATTTTACTTTGTTTGTAATATTTTTGATACTTGATAAACTGATCAATGAGTGGATGCAAACGTAAAATGACTACTCAAATCAAAAATTATTATTTGCTGTGCTTTGTTACTGCCCTGGTTGGATGGAAAGTTGTAGAAACATAAAAAGTTAATTTTGAACGATTTAGTGATTTGATCCAAAGTTCGACATGGTTAGATTTTTACATTTACAGACTCAATAATTGAAGTGCAAATACAGTAACTCTAAATAGTAAAGGAGCAACACATAAAAGTTAGGTCAAGGGTTATTTGAGTTTTGCCTTGAGGCCTTAAAGAGTGTGCCGACTAAGGCCGTTTGTACATATCCGTTTTTTCACCGGACGACGGACCATAAACGGATGTTTACAAGCGGCCTAAGACTGCAGCTTTTATCTGCGTTAATCCAGGGGATGTTACTTATTTAATGACAAAGTGATTGTTAACTCTGGTATTCTTGAAACTACTGCTTTTTGTTCTGAAATTCATTGGCTAGAGCCTAGATATGATATCTCAGAAAATTCCATTGGTGCTTAAGTTTCTCCTTCACCTAGGACCATTTGCCTGTAATGTAACATTACCTTACATCAGCGCTACAGTAACAACCTGTAATGTTACAGATTCAAGCATGACATTAGGGAGGGACGAGATCTGAGCATTGAATTTTTAAACAGGCAAATGCTTGTCAAGTTAGGGATGCAGTTTTTTTTTATTGTTTGTCAGCCAAATGATTTCCACTGCCGGACAAACAATTTTCACTATGACCGGTCATGCAGTATTGTAATGTAATTCTTAAATTGGAATTTGAAATGTTACACATCCGAATGCTCCAGGTGAGGGAGAGCCTTTAGGCTGGTTTTAGAATCACGTAACGCACGCTGACCGTCAGCGCCGAACGATCAGCGTCACTCAGGAACGTTCCCTTCAATTACATACATATTGATCTGTCAGCGCCGACGATCAGCGAGCGGTCAGCGCGATTCTAAAGCCTTATTTACAGGGTTGTAACATGGCATGCGTTTCAGATCCGCACCGGCATGGTGCAGGTGTCGGACGGCAAGTCGCGGCCGCGCGCCGCACGCCTCGTGCTCACCATGGACGCCGTGTGCGTGCAGCGCGAGGCCTGCGTGCCCGCGCCGGCGCGCGACAAGAGCGTGCCGCACGCCAGGGTGAGTGCAGGCAGGCACCGGTGCAGCTGACTGCATCTCTAGTTGGACTCACTCTCACTTTCTAGTGCAGTGGTTCTTAACCGGTGGTCCGCGGACCACTGGTCTTCCGCGGACTTCTTAACCGGTGGTCCCTGGAGGCATTCCAAGTGGTCCACGAAGACATCGTAATAAACAAGTGACGTGACGTGATGAGTCGAGTCAACACATCGCAAATGGCGCACAGTGGGCGAGAAATCGACCTCCCCTTTCATAGGATTTTGAAAATAAAAAAGTGGTCCCTGACAAGACAGAAATTTGGTAAAATGGTCCCTCGTGACTTAAAGGTTAAGAACCACTGTTCTAGTGGCAGCCACGAAATCCAGGCATCCAGGAATCAATCGCGTGCAACTGGCTCAGGCGGTGCGTTGTCCAAATGGCGCGATCAGGTGATGAAAGTAAGCAGTGTGCTGTGAGTACCTACCTATGGCTTGCATGCTTCAAATGTACAGTTGCGCGACGACATCTGCCAATGAGGGTTTTCGCGATTGAAAAATCCGCCAGATGGCAATACGTAGGCGTGATGTCCAAATGTTTGTCCAAATTTTTGACATGGCATTGACAGATATGTCAAAATCCACCAATCACGCAGCATTTGGACCTCGCGTCTACGTATTGCCATCTGGCGGATTTTTCAATCGCGAATGCCCTCATTGCAGCGCGTCCATGCACTGTATGCGTGGTCGTACTGCAGCCGCCTTTATGCTCACGCGCTGTGAGACTTATGATGGACCAATATTGGATGGGTGCAGCTAATAGACAATATGAGTTTGATATTATTAGTGTGTCCCTTGCATGATGTAAGCTGTCGCTATGCCATATTCCAATTTTTTCATTTGATTTGATTTTGATATTGCCCAAGATACCATTTTCGTCTAAGAGTAGGTAAGACCAAAGGGGGTACTCCGAAAAACCTTAACCGAAGTTTCGAATGTTGCCATCCCCTTCACGGTAACAGATGGACGCGAAACTATTTAAACAGCGTTTCGTAGTTGCCCTGCTGTTTGTAACGTTGTTAATCTAGCCCATTCCCTTCCAGGAGCGTATGGTCCAAATAACGCGGCAGAAGGTGGGCGGGCTGGGGCTCAGCATCAAGGGCGGCGCGGAGCACAAGCTGCCCATCCTCATCTCCAAGATATACAAGGACCAGGCGGCCGACCAGACGGGCCAGCTGTTCGTGGGCGACGCTGTTATCAAAGGTAAGCGTAGAATAGTAAATATTCTCACTGTTGCTGGCAGTTTGGCCAGCAATCCTCTTTTTGATATTGTTTATGGTTTTTTTTAATATTGTTTTTTAGATTTGGAAGTTGCTTTTCTACACTCTTGTGTTCTAGTGGTATTGTCTTGAGCAATATACTGTTTTGGCCCTGTTTTGGCCCTGTTTTGGAGTGTTTCCTTGCTTCTAGCATAATATCACCACCGGCAGGCCTATCTATAACATACAGTCCACTCCACGGTGGAGTCTCCACCGTTTTTAACACTCACATATGCATTCGTGTCCTCAGGCAAGATCCATTATACCCCTGACCAGTTTAGTCGTTCTACTTTGACATACATAAGTGAATAGAGGGCTTTTCAAAGGGCTGCAAATTGTTCCTACTGATACACAGATGTAGATGCAGTTAAAAATTCAAGGTTTCTAATCCAATGACTCATTCACTAAAACTTCGTCGATCTTTTTCTATATTTTCTGCTGATTGTCTAGCATTAGTCCATGAACTAACTTACTTTGTATGGTATTATCGCATTTTACGATGAATACCATGCATAACACGCATTTGAAAAAAGAGAATATGCAGTCGTCATCACATGAATTCCAACTTACATACATGAATACTTAAAATGCAACGAAACACAACTTTAACCAGACCACCGTTGTGCAACCGTATCTCCCGCCAGAGACTAATTGTTTCAGTAATATCCGGGGCAATTAGACGGGCAGTTAGCGATGCAAATTGTCTAGCGGCCTAATCCAGAAGCTAACTCACAGTTAACGATGAACTCTGGAGCTAGGGCAAGTTGTTATTATGTACGATAATATTTGTTTAAATGCGACCCAATTGATACTTGTTCAAATAGGTATAATGATGCTACTAAGTAAATGACTACAATCTTGTAAAACGAGACCTGTAGCCCTTCAAGTACCAGAGAATCGAGACACAATAGCAATCAATTGTTACCGCGGTCTCATGCGACCGCTTATCCCATCCACGGGATAAAACTATAAAACTTAAAGGACTAACTTTTAAAATGGTTGAGTAGGTATATAAAGTTAAAAGTTTCAGATTAAATATGACAAACGACATTGTAGTGTTTGTTCTTGGACCTAAAACTTAACAAATTCAAAACACATGCTTCAAAATGCAACATACGATTACAGACATTCTTTCTCCAAACCGAATGACTTCATGGCCGTGGAATCCTCAACGGTTAATGTAACTAATTCAAGTTTAAATACCAGATACATGCACGAGCCGCATTACAAAACAGTGGCGCTATTTAAAGACCAAATGAAAGTTTTATAGCTCATTCAGTGGTGGGCCTTATGATGAAAATAGGTGTAGTAGAATTATTTCGACATTGCAGAAAAAAGAGAGAAAATGCAGCTGGATTAAAAATAGTTTTGTATGAGATTAGTGTAGTGTATGTAAGTCCCTAACGTTTTAGAATTATCGTGTGTAGCTAGTTAGCTTACTGTTCATGAGCATTTTGCTTTGAGTGATTCGGTCAGAAAATATGAAACGCAAATCGTAGATATGAATCCTGTAGTAAAAACTGATTCGCGTATGAAGCGATTTTCTCTCACGCTTATTATGTGATTCCTTTAGTCCACATAATTAAATCGCGTATGGGAAACAGGATTCTCACAATGGCTATTGGACACACATTTCACGCAGCCAGTGTGCAGCCAGAGTGAGAAACGCTGCTGTGTTTATGTTCTTTGTAGTACCGATTTAAATAAATATGCACATTGCACTTGTGGTATGCACTTAGTTTAGTTTCTAATGATTAATTATACCGGCTGCTTTCTTTTGTAGCTCCGTGCTATTATTTCTGTCCTGTGGCGATGCGCGTGTGTAATAACAAAAAAGTTTACTAAAGTAGACGTTGTGTTTAGTAAAACCTTACCTATTTCATTCATGCCAGTAATCCAAAATAAGCAAAACAGACGCAGAAAACATTTTCTTTCACGTTTTAACGTTTTGCTCATAAAGCTGATGAGAAAGTTGTTGAAAGGGGAGAGTGTTGAGCCCTTTAGTGGCCCTCGATTAAAAATGCAGCTGACCTGAATGCGTGGAGCTTTAGGCCCGGTTCCCACTGCACCGGACCGGCAAATCTGCCGGATTGAAGCTACAATTTATATTAATCTATTCAAATTATCTCGGATCCGGCATTTTTACCGGGCCCGGCATTTTTACCGAGTGTTTTGTCACTGCGAAGTTCCGGCAGAACCACTGCCGGTTCAATACTCTCCGGTCCGCAGGCTCCGGTCTGGAGCAGTGTGAAGTCAAAGTCAAGTCAAAATTTCTTTATTTGTTTAGACTAATAAATAGTTCTTACAAATTGTCATTTTGCTCTTAAGGAGCCTCTACTCTACATGTGAACGAGTTTGTCCGGCATAGGTCCCCCGCTCGCCCAGCCTGTGCTACCCTCGCGTCACTCGGCTCGCATTTTTTGACAAACTTCTGACTTGGCTGTCCTATTTTCTTGTGGGATCCGGTGTAATGTGAACACTCATGTGGCAAATCCGGTCCGGCATAGTGGGAATGCGGCCTTAGCTTTACTCCGAACAGTCTAATTTGGCATTCTTGTTTATTTTTACTTACGTAGGGTACTTTACGATTAATATTAGATGGGTTTGTGGGAATTCGTATCACATGTTTATTTCTTCAAAGTCGTGTGTTTATTTATTCATTAGCTGTGGACGGAACGGGGTGTTTGTGTTCGATGTGTAAATAGATTAAAAAGTGATTATCACGGGAATTGGGGTGGGCTTTACTATTTTATAAGTATGGATTATTTCGTTTTCTCTCGTGTAAGATGTAATGTTTATGAAAAGGTTAATAACTTAGTCAGTTTTAGAAGACGCAGGGCATTCTGTTTTTATGTTTTTCATTCTACAGGTGATCCGGTCAACTATCTTCTTTAGACGAATAACTTTTTGACAAAAAAAACAATGCTATGGCCGTGCTTCTGTCCTCTTTGTAAACGGAGAATACGCACCTCACCCCGCTCCCTGAACAAGTACTAACGGTTTCAATTAGAATACTTGGGTATTTTGATAAAAAAGTAAACATCAATTCATCTTATATCGTCAAAGACTGGGCTCTAAAGTGCACATATTTCCAGTAAACGGCGAGTACATAACAGCGTGCAAGCACGACGACGCGGTGAACATTCTCCGCAACGCGGGCGACATCGTCGTGCTCACCGTCAAGCACTACCGTGCCGCCACGCCCTTCCTACAGAAGCAAGGTAAGGCCAATCATCATCACCATGTCAGCCATAGGACGTCCACTGCTGAACATAGGCCTCCCCCAATGATGTCCATAAGTGCGAATACTCATCATCATCATTTCAGCCATAGCATGTCCACTGATGAACATAGGCCTCCCTCAATGATTTCCATAAACTAAGTGCGAATACTCATCATCATCATTTCAGCCATAGGATGTCCACTGATGAACATAGGCCTCCCTCAATGATTTCCATAATGGCGAATAATCATCATCATCATCATTTCAGCCATAGGACGTCCATTGCTGAACATAGGCCTCCCCCAATGATTTCCATAATGGCGAATACTCATCATCATCATCATAATCATCATCATAATCATCATCATCTCAGCCATAGGACGTCTACTGGAGAACATAGTAGGCCTCTCCCAATGATTTCCTTAATGGCGAATACTCATCATCATCATCACCTCAGCCATAAGACGTCCACTGCTGAATACAAGCCTCTCCCAATGCTTTCCATGTTGCCCGGTTGGTAGCGGCCTGTGTCCAGCGCCTTCCTGCTACATTTATGATGTCGAATACTGCGTGCGAACAATGCTGAGAAAATTGCCAGCAGACGTACCGCGTAGGGTATCATTATGCCTCTGACTGTTAATAAAATGTTGGTGGTAAAATAAAATGGCATACAATTACATTATGTGTTAGCTTCTTGTTCTGTACTTATCATCAAACACGGATCTCGTTCCCACGGCAATCCAGTTTTGCAGGATCCAGTAATGTAGGAACCCGCAAAACTGGATTGTCTTGTGTTTGAAATTAGAATTACAAATTCGAATGGATTAGTTTTTTGCGAGATGTTCGTGTGAGCGTCAATATTAAAACACGTGGTATACTACTAAACGGGATCCTGCAAAAAACAGTCCCTGCAAAAAGGGAACAAGGCCCTAATTTTATCATATTTTAATCTTTTGCAATCTCTATAAATCATAAAACAATTTTGTAGAAATAAAACTGTAGATAAAAATGTCATACTACGTAAATTCACCTTCAACGTGAATCGGACCGTAACGAACAAACTATTGGCGGTAGTTTTGCCATAGATTTTTCTAGACACCATTTCTCGGTCGAAATAAAAAACGTAGTAGGATATAAAAATGACATACTTAATTCATGTACACCGTGAATCGGAACGTAACGAACAAAAACTTTTGTCGGTAGTTTTGCCATAGATTTTTTTAGTCGCCATCTTTCGAATTTTGTTGAAATTAAAACGTAGTAGGACCAGGCCTGGCTCACTCCGCGCGGTACATCCGATAATTACCTACAGCGAAGCGCCCCGCCGGCGGGTATTATATCAGTCGAGTGTCATGCGCGCGCCCGTCAGGACGCTGGCGTGCGTTGTAGTACCTAATTCTATGATCGAAGTATTATTTAAAAATGGACATAAAGAGAAAGAAATATTGTGCGGCGTTCGGGTGTTTAAATTCGAAAAGAAATCTACCGGATTTTTTTTTTCGCTTCCCAAAGATGCTGAAAGGTATGTTGGACATGTAGGTAATCAATAATTCTTAGGATAGTATAGGAACCTAACCTACCATGACTACTGCTCAGAATGCGTTCGTTCGTTTCAGCCAAATGACGTCCACTGCTGGACAAAGGCCTCTCCCAAGGTTTTACATAATGAATGCGTACTTACATACATATGTGTCATGAGGTACGTACCTCATGACATATAAGTAGATTAATTATTTTTTTCACTAGACAGCAACCCTAACAGCGTAAGAAGAGTTCAGAGGCACGCGATGGAAAGAGACAAAACTTGTAGGTGAATAAAATTGTAGGTACGTAGTGCTGTGCGAGCTGAATTCCACTGTATTGCGTCGCAGCAAGACTCGCATTTATTTAAATCGTCTTGCGGAGTAATCCTTCTGTACCTGTACTATTACTTATTCTGTGGTAGGACATAAAAATATCATACTTAAATTCATCTACACCGTGAATCGGAACGTAACGGACAACAAGTTTAGGCGGTAGTTTTGCCATAGAAAAAAATATCATAATAAAATTCATCCACTACGTGATTCGGAACGTAACGAACAAAAACTATGGCGGCAGTTTTGTCATAGATTTTTTCTAGACGCCATCTCTCGGATTATCATTTTCATTGCTCGTAAAAAAGTATTATAGGTAAGGCAATTACAATACTTAATTTTAACTTATTTTAATCTAATGCAGGTTACATCATAACGCATTTTTGTCTAAAATTCGAAATTAAAATGTAAATGAAAATATCATTAAGTAAATTCAACTACACCGTGATTCGGAACGTAACGAACAAAAAACTATTGGCTTATACTTGGATCATTTACGTTGCTTGTGCGCAGTGCAATGGCGGTTACCAAACGATATTATTTTACAAATTACGCATTTTATTGTTAGCGGACGGTGCCTCGGACACGGATAGCAGCACAGGCGACGATCATCCCTCGTTACATAACAAGCCTGTGGACGCCAACTGCAATTCGGAACGCAGCGTCGAACAAACCAATGGCGGCTGGCAGGTAAGAAGCGGATTTTGAATTTGGAATAAAAATTGTTTGTGCTGGCATAAAATATGATCGTGTTTTGTTTTAGTTAAAGCTTAAGATTGTGATCATGTCGGGAATTAATTTTGAATTTCGAATTGATACCTCTTGTGTCGCCATTTTTTATTTTATTGTGCGGGTATGAAGTAGCGAAAAGTATCAGGGTGCGCGGGTGTGTCTTTTCATGTCGATTTAGTTTTAAATGAAGTAAAATTTTGCTAAAGTGAAAATATTTGAGGTTTGCGATCATGATTTTGTTTCGAATTCAAGCTTTTGTGTAACATTTTTGCTACTCGTGCGGGTAAGTCGAACTATCATAGTACTTAATACTCAATAGTTTATTGCTTCCATAATAGTGTCGTTATAGTGATTGACAAGAGTTTTGCTGAAGTGAAAATACTGAATTTTTATATTCGTAAGAGTGGAGCGATTGTCCACTGCAACCGATCTGAATTCGCAAATTTCGGTCCAGAAGAAACGAAATACAATGATTTTGATGGATTCGTATCGGATGTACGCGCTGTAGCCCTAAATGCGTAAGCGTGTGTAACATTTGTAGCGCGGTTGTCTGATCAAAATACTGTAATGTCGCGCCTAAGACGCTCTGTGCTGTGTACTTTAGCACACAGCCGATGTGACATAAACTCCCCTGTTGTATCCCCGACGTGGCTGGGAGACTCGGCATGCGCTGGGTCGTACCAGATTATGTTACTTCCCAGATACTTACGGGGCATGGGTGCTTTAAAAAGCGCCTGTGCGATATGCGTCTCCGGACCGCCGCGGAATGCGAATGTGGGGAACGCGAAGAGGACAGGCACCACGTCCTGTTATCCTGCCCTTTGTACGAAGACCTACGCCAAGTTCTGCTTCAGGGAATCGTGCCCGAGAGACCCGAACCCACCTGGTACTCCGATCTCGTCTCCTCGCGAGGCGAACTTCGCCCGGCTGCGAGAATTCGCGTACGGCTGGCATAGGAGGAGGACCGCTAGTGCTGCACCGCACCAGAGGGTGTCACCCGCGGTGTGATCGTCAGGCCCCAGAAGGGGGAGAACTGAATAAAAGGGACAAGGACGAAGATAAAATAACTTGTAGGGAGTCGAGAAGTGTGGCGCGGTGGAGTGCAATTTGCCCTAGGCAGCCGCAATTCCGCTCACACCTCCCGCGATTCGGCCAGTATAACCGCGAGGTTGGTATGGCCATGGGTGGTGGTGGGTTGTCCCCTCCTGTATAGTCAGGATCTCCAGCCCACCGATGTGGCATATTAAAGGGGTTATTCTATCACCAGAGCGCATGGGGCGATGAAGACAGCCGGCCGGGCAGCGCGGCGGGCTCCACACGAGGCTCGCGCCCGCCTTCCGTGGCGTCCGACCGCCCGCCCAGCGGCGCGCCCGTGGTCAAGGAGTGGGTGGACGTGGTGTCAGGTAAGTAACAACCCCTATTATCATCTAAAGCCTGGTCCGTGAGCACGTAGAATCCCGTCCAATGACCCCAAGCTAGCCATCCCTATCGCTCGCGCGTAATTATGTTGCTGTCACGACTGTGCGACGGGCGCCCGCGCGAGCGATAGGGATGGGTAGCTTGGGGTCATTGGACGGGATTCTACGTGCTCACGGACCAGGCTTTAACACCAGTAATGACTCCAATAATCGTTGAATTTTGGGTATACGCTAAAACTTACGCGGGTGCACGAAGCGGGCACCCGCTCCGGACGTTCAACGCGGGTTTGTGGAAACCCGTCGCATTTACGTCTGCGCCACACACACTACGCTGCTCATTACTTTAGGCTAGTTTTAGTGTCACGCGGACTGTCAGTGCGGATCGCTCCGCACAGCCGATCTGTATGGAACTGCTAAGGAGCGAGCGGTTGCTCCGGACCGCATTATTCTAAAACACTCCCTAGAAGTTCATACAGATTGGTCGTGCGGAACCCTTTTGTACCCTTTGCACCACCGGCCTGCACCACTGGTGGTGCAAAGGGTATTTTTGAATCCCCTTTACACCACCAATAGTGCCGCGCTACCATTAACTGTAAAACGATTATCTATAATTATAATTTATATAATATTAACATTATAAAGAGGAAATAATATTTGATTGTTTGTTTGTACTGAATAGGTTCCAAAACTACTGGACAGATTTGATAACATATATTATTATTTCACTATTAAAATCCAAATAATTTTCTGGGTAACAAAGGCTATTAAATATTTTCAAAAGAGTATGTATTAAAGTACCAGGGCAACATAATCATAAAGGAGCTATATCAAATTCTTCTTGGTAGACCCGAGATATAAACATGTATCATAAAATAGCTCCTTTATGGTTATGTTGCCCTGGTACTAATTATTCGTTGTATGTAGGCCCGGGGTATCGTGGGTCTGAAGTGAAATGTTTATAGCCACGTGTTAAGTTTTTCATATTATTTTATTCTTAAATCATTCAAGTATTTGTATCTTGTAGTCATCATTTCATGTTGATGAGGTGATGATGAAAGGTAAACAACTCCCTAAACGTTGTTCCGTGCATACAGCCACGCATCACACATCATCAGGGTGTCCACATTCTGGAAAGTCAGGGAAAGTCAGGGAAAAGTCAGGGAAGCTCATAGCAGTCAGGGAAAGTCAGTGAAATAGAGGGGTCACCTGGAAAGTCAGGGAAACATTGAGATTTTGTCTATCAAAACACTGTTTGTCTCCCGAAATTTCCCAGTGATTGTAAAATGAGGGATTTAATTAATTTATGCTCTAGAAAGACCTTTGACCTTTGATATCGAAGCATTTTTTTTCAGGTTTGGAGTGATCTACATTATGACTTTGTTTTTAGTCATAATCATATTACTTCTTTTTAGTTTTTTATCTAATGAAGTGGATTGATCTAAATTAGGACATAATTTTGTTCATAATTAGATTACTTTCATATAGTTTTTTTTTCAGGATTAGAGTGATCTATGTTATGATTTTTATTGTCATAACTAAAGTCCGATTTTTAATTCGACGGAATTCTGACAGCTGTCATTTTTTGACAATTCAGATGTAATAAGCCTTTTTTGCTTAGAGTTAATAATAAATAATATTAAATAAAATTTCATCAAGTACAACTTACAAGAATGAACTATTGTTTCTATTGTGAATTCAATGTACACTAATTATTATGTACATTTTAGAGATTAAATAGAAAAAAAACGTGTTTTTAACACAGTAAAACAACATATTAACATAAACGAAAATATGTATTGATCATCAATCATCATTGTCCTCATCATAATCAACTTGGATTATAAAATTGGTATCTTGTTAAATTGATTATTTTATGAAGCTAAGATTTTATTAACAAAAGGATTTTCATAAAAAAAGGTTTGTAACCCATGGATTATTGGGCAGGGATTCCAGTAATAGAAAAATAATTTCCCATTTTTTTTTGTAACTTCCATAATATGATAATAAAAATTCAAATAACCATTTTGAAATGATCAGTACATTTTTAAGCCTTAGTTTTTTAAGTGAAACCTTCAATTCAAGAAAGGATTATTTTTTAATTTGTGAAAATGCTCTCCATTCTTAGTGGGAATGTTTCAATGTTGACAACACTTCTGAAATGTCAAAATTCCGTCGAATTAAAAATCAGAGTTTAACTAGATTACTCCTTTTTGTTTTAATAGATGTACTTTTTTGTTTCAGTAAAATGATATATTTTCTATTGTCGATGTGAAAGTGCAACTTATAACTTATGTTTATTTATATATTTTTTTATAATTATTTATTGATTTGATTATTGAGTGNCTTAAGTACCTCATCGTCTGCCATTTCAGAGTTAAAGGCGGTGTCATAAAAGTTATATAGATAGGGATTGAATTTCCTTTGGGAGTGCTTTAGCTCTAACAATAAATTTTAACGGCTGCATCTTCATTTGCGATTCATGATTTTATTGAACTGTATGAAACGGTCAATGACAGAGCTTGATCTTTAAGCATCGCCGTTATCTTTGTTTGGTTCATTGTCTTTTTAAAACTCCAATGTATTCTTTTTTGCAGTTCCCCTCATGATGGGATACGTGACGCGATACGTTTTAGGAACTGATAAGCTAAGACCTGGTGCTTTTGAGGTAAGCATCCGAACTAACCGCATGAATAAATTAATTTGAACTTTGTTACAACACAAATTAATACTATGTTTGCTTGGCAGGTGAGAGGCGCACGGCCTCACCAGACGACGGGCGTGATTCACGCGGAAGACCCCGCGTCGTTGTCGCATTGGCTCAAGAGCATTTCAGACAACATCGTGGGCCTGACGAACCTACAGGTATGTAGTAGTAATCCTTCATAAACATCATCATTATCATTTCGACCACAGGATGTCTACTGCTGTACACAGGTCTCCTCCAATGGTTTCCAGATTGGTGAGTTGGTAGCTGCCTGCATCTAGCGCCCTCCTGCAACCTTTTTTTCCGTCCTCCATCTTGTGGGTGGACATAGTCCAGCGGACGACGTGGATAGGACTGTTGACTTGAATCGGCAGTTCGATACTGACGTTATCATCATCAGGTCATTTAGTCTCTACCGCCGAACCTCTCTTATTTATCACAGGCAAATAGGAGTATTTTGCAGCGAAAGGGCTGCACGCTGGCCAGACTGTTTGTGGACGTCTGACTTTCGCGTATTTCTCCCTTCACTTCTGACGATGAAGAGTGGGGGTGATCCTATTTTGTTCCGTCTGAAGTACTTGTATCCGCCGACATACTGATAATGGTCAAATCAAATCATTTATTGCATTACATGTGTGGTTTGACAGTTGGTAAATGGTAGGGTAGTACATCACATGCACCCTGTAAGGGCATAGCAAGTATTAAGTATAATAAACATAAAGGTATATTTTGCTGAATTAATTCTTAGGTAAGATAAATTAAATTTTACAAAATGAAATAAAATACGGTCGCCTTTTTGATATGATCATGTATAATTTTTGTTTCAACTAGCAACATTGTTTTCAGATGAAGCTGTTCAACCGTGCGCTACCAGCGGGCGAGCGCATTGAATACATGGGCTGGGTGCACGAAGGTGTGGTGTCGGCGGCGCAGCCCTGGCAGACCTACCGGCCCAAGTTCCTCGTGCTCAAGGGCACCGACGTCATGCTGTTCGACACGCCGCCGGTGAGTGTGCACGAGCGTGACGTCACGGTTCGAAACGAGAATTTGTTTAGATAAAGTATAGTCTCATCCTTATCGCTCACGCGTAATTATGTTGCTGTCACGCTCGCACACTCACTGCGGGTGCTAGTCGCACAGTCGCGACAGCAATATAATTACGCGCGAGCGATAAGGATGGGTAGCTTGGAGTCATTGGACAAAATTCTACGTGCTCCCGGACCAGACTAGATGCTTAAAATATCCTTCTTGAGGAAATCTCAAAGATATTAGATATAAGAATTTATTATATTCGAATTCTGCTGATGCTTCATTTCAGCTTTTTTAATTACGCGGGTCAGTTGAAGCCATCTTTTAGTCCTGTCAAAATTCGATCCATTCTATGGGTGTTTCTCGCCCCAAGGTTCCATCAGTACTTTGCAACAGGCTCTCTGGTGATGTAGCCAGCCCACCATCAGCTTTGCTACTATAGTCTGGTCCGGGAGCACGTAGAATTTTGTCCAATGACCCCTAGCTACCCATCCTTATCGCTCGCGCGTAATTATGTTGCTATCGCGCTCGCACACTCACTGCGGGTGCCAGTCGCACAGTTGCGACAGCAATATAATTACGCGCGAGCGATAAGGATGGGTAGCTAGGGGTCATTGGACAAAATTCTACGTGCTCACGGACCGGGCTTTAGTTTGATGAATCAAACATTAACCGTAAACAAATCTTCCAGATGAACATCACGGAGCTGACCAAGTGCCCGGAGGTGCTGAAGGTGTACCAGACGATGTTCCGCACGGTCAAGGAGAGCGAGACGGTGGACTGGCGCCAGCACTGCTTCCTGGTGCAGAGCGGCGCTGGGCCCGGCGCGGGCCCCGGCGTGGGCCCCGGCGTAGGCCCGGGCGGCGCGGGCCCGCGCTACTTCAGCGCCGAGACGCGCCAGGACCTGCTGCGCGTGGAGGCCGCCTGGACCGCCAACATCGTCAACGCCGTCGTGCGCCTCGGGGTGAGTCGCTAGTAGTGTTGCAAAAAAACGGATTTTTTTCTGGTGTGAAAAAAAAACCTCAAAATCAAAAAATCAAAATCAAAAATATTTCTTCAGTTTAGACCACAAGTGGCACTTATGAACGTCAATAGAAAATAATAAAAAAAGAAAAGGTAGCCCTTATGGTGCACTTTACATGTCTCCTTATCTTTAAAAAAAAATGTTTTTTTCTGGACCATGTTTTTTTTCAAGAGTACGAAATCCAAAACTTTTAAGACGAATAACTTAAGAATACATAGATAATAGTTTTCGGTTTATTTTTAACTCTGCTATACTTTTCTGGTTGAGTGGTACCACAGAATAATAATAAGTACTACGTACAGAAGTTTTACTTCGCGAAGGTATTTAAAATAATGTATGCCCAATGTCATTAACAATATGGTGTGTTAGCCTGTCTCAAGAGTCAAGCACCATTTTGTTGACAAACGTCAGTGATCGGCACGGCGCCGAAGCTATAGGGCTGACTTCGGTAAAATTATGTGACGTGAGGTGCCAAACTGCGGAAAATGGCGGAGGAAATACATGATTTAGCATGAATTATCATGAATAATATTAACTACTTATTTACCTCTCAGTGTCTTGAGGCAACTTAGAAAAGTACATTCTGTGTTTTTATTATTATTTAGGCAGTTAAATACTGCACAGTATTTAGTACACCATTTTCTTTATTTTCTTCCATCATACACAAAAATACGCGTGCGTGAGTCAATGTTCGCTCGTATGTGAGGCCTTGTCGAATAGTATCCTGTAGGTGGGCCATCGTGCGTGTTTTGTTTTCGATGTAAACTAGATGAACAGGCCTGGTGGTACTAAGATTTCATGAATATATTGGCAACATTTTTACATCAACGAAAGGGAAATACCCAAATCAATTACATTTAACACGGAGAAATCCCCCTTTAGGTTTATGTTTATTTGAACGTAGTTGGCTTAGCGCAGTTGGGGTGTGTGACGGACGGAGAAAGTTCAATATCAAATTATTTAGTTATTCTGCTATTCGAGTGTTCTTTTCGAGTGTGATTACCAACTAAAATACCTGAGTATGCCGAAACGAGTATGTTCAGGCCTAAAATATAAGGCAGTAAAAAAAAACAACAAAAACAACGGTGCTAAGCTTTTTTTCATGTTTTTTTCAAAAACTGAAAAAAAAAAAATTAATTTGTTTTTTTTTTCATTTTACATCACTAGTCGCTAGTCTACAATACTGTTACTTAGGCCGGCAATACACGGACCGCTTGAAGCAGTCAGGGTCGACAGCTTCAAGCTGCGACTGCACAGTGAACTGCAGAGTTCTATGGACGCACATACACGAACCGCTCGAGCAGTTGCAACTGATTCGGGCGGTCGACAGCACGGTGAATTTTCATCGTGCGGTCAAGCAGTCACCAGCCATACACTGACTGCTCAAGCTGTCGACAGCTCTCGCGCAGTTACTCAGCCCACTTTCTTCATTCCACGGCGCGCGCGCTTGTGATTTGTTGAGCAGTTAATACCAACTGCTCGAGCAGTTATCACAGGCAGCTGCAAGCTGTTGACTTTTGACTGCAAGAGCGGTCCGTGTATGTTGATCAATGACTAACTGCTCGAGCTGTCCATGTATTGCCGGCTTTAGTCTCATCATCATCATCATCATCATCTCATCCATAGGACGTCCACTACTGAACAGGCCTCCCTCAATGCTTTCCATGTTGCCCGGTTGGTAGCGGCCTGCGTCTAGCGCCTTTCTACTACCTTCATGATGTCGTCGGTCCACCTTATGGGTGGACGTCCCACGCTACGTTTTCCGGTACGCGGCCTCCACTCCAGAACCTTGCTGCCCCATCGGCCGTCAGTTTTGCGTACTATGTGCCCTGCCTAAAATAATTTTTTTGGCCTACGTTTTTGTGTTTTGGTTATGTGTGTAGACAAATTAAAAATAATTTGGCTTACATTACTGTTTATTGCATCTGTTTATACTGAGCTAATGCTTCTAACAAATTACTCTCTGCGTCTTCCTTTCCGCTTGTGCTTGGTGCTGGATTCCTCCAGGCGACGTTTGAGGTGCGGGTATGGTTGCAGACACGTTTGGAAGTCTTTCGTGCTGAGCCTGAAAAAATTATAATTTTTAATTATCTATTAATTAAATAATCTTTAGAAATGGGGGTCATGTACAGATGGACATCCATCTCACACCTGCTTGACACCACAAGAAATACCCTATGTTCTATCATTGCTTAAGTTGTGTAAGTAAAGTCAGTTGATTAGCGAAGTTCTGCGTGAACATGACGTTCGTATTGCATATGTCTAGTCAAGCTTACATGATAGTTTATTATAGTCTGATCTGCGAGCACGTAGAATTTTGTCCAATGACCCCAAGCTACCCATCTAGTAATTATGTTGCTGTCGCGCTCGCACACTCACTGCGGGCGCCCGTCGCGACAGCAATATAATTACGCGCGAGCGATAAGGGAGGATTCTTCGTGCTCGCAGACCGGGCTTTAATTTTAAAGTGGAACTTTCACTAACTTGTACATTTCCGTAATCTCGAGGGCTATAATCGTAACAGTGCGTAGAACTCCGGGGTCCAACAGCGCCGCCTCACCAAAGTACGATCCGTCGCGAAGATGAGCTACCTGTAAATTGTAATTTAATTAATGTTTTATAACTCCTTTCTTTTATTGGCAAATATACAACAACATACTTCTCTTCCTGTAGAGTTGATAACAGCTACAGTTCCTGAATATATCAAGTAGATCGATTGCCCGGATTGATCACATTTAATTATTGTCTGTAAAATAAACAATATTGATTTTTATTCATATCAACTAACTATGTAAGTTCGATTATACTGACTGATAGATGCCTACCTCTCCTGGCATGTACAGTGCTTGCGTCAAGCTAAACACAATCGTATTGATCAGTGCTATCGGCATATCTTGGAAAATCGGTACATTCATCACCAATTTTTTACAGCAGTGCATATTTATATCCTGCTTTATTTGCTCGTTGACAGTGTTCATAATCGCTTGCTCATTGAAATAGTGTTCATAGAATTTGTAGTTAATGAACAGCTGGATTTTCCGCTGCAGAGTTTTCGGGAGACCTTTGAATACCATGTAATCGGTCAGCTCTTTCAGCCTGCCATTGTAAAGCAGTACTTCGAATCTTCCGTATATCGCCAATCGTAGTAACGTCGCAAATGAGTACGTCAAGAACATCAGTCCGACTATTCCCATAGCCGAGTTGACAAGCATTTCTGGTATGAGAAAGTCGGCCATCGGGCTGTAATGACTCGATCCGTTGCACAGGCCACAGATTAAGTACAGATTTGACATGTACTTCTGAAACACCGTCGTAGATGCACTATCGGTGACGTGGAGCCGTTTGAACCAGGATATCGAGTCTAGATTGTCTTTGTAGTAGTGAGCGCAGAACGAAGGGATCTGGTAGAGGAGGTACGTCATCCAGTGGAAGAACAGCACGCCGCGCATGAACACAGTAATACCCACAGACGCCACGTACGACAAGCCCATTTGTTTGTAGAAGTTCTGCCATTGCTTACGCATGGACATCAGGCTGCAACGGAATCCAGATGAAACAAATCAGAAGATTCCACATTTTCACAAAAGTTATTATTGACATTGGCTGAATTGACAAAATTATCACACACCTGAAAAGTTTGAAGACAAACCACATCGTGTGCGTTGAATACTTGCAGTCGTCAAAGATCTTGATGCATTGTAGTGGCAGAGCTGCTAAGAAGTCGAATATGAACATCCCTTTCAAGTACAACCGGGCGATCTCCTTGCGCTCCAACGTGACCTTCTTCCCGTCCTCGTGACAGTAGCCAGTGATGAACTTGCTGAAGATGTCCAGAAATGCCAGCCCATCGTAGAACAGGATGATCGGGTCGTAGGGATTTGGACCTGGAAACCATTTAATTTTATTCCGTGCTGTGTTAGTGTGTGCTTGGGGAGTGTTGTTCAAATCAGCCATTTGCCTCTGGTATATCTGGTATAATTCCAAGCTGTCATTGCTATCAATCATTGTGGCTCTCTTTCATCACACGCAGTATCTAAAAAAAAGTCTGACAACTGGACCAGTTCTCACATCATAAGATTGCCTTAGCGCTCTTACGCACTAGCGGTTAATCGCGGGGGAGGCTAGCTGCTTTTTAGTTAACCGCTAGTGCGTTTGTAGCCTTAAGCTATTGACCTTAACTTCTATAAAAGCGTAGAACTCACAGTGATAGAACACTTGCAAGGGTATATACAGGAAGAGTATATAGGAGACGATGAGCTGCATGCAGTCCCAGTAGTACTTGATGGGACTGTAGGGGTGCCACAGCAGCCAGTGGCCCAGCGCCACCTGGCGGCCGCGCTCCTGCTGCAGGCTCTTCTTGCTGCGAATGAACTTGAACGTGCCGTGGTGCCACTCGCACGGGAGCATGAGCTCGCGCATCTGGGGAGCATGTGATAGTATTTACACCATACGCAGACTGGGTGACACGCGACAGCGATATAGATGACCCAAGCTGAACTGTCCCACCAAACTCAATGACAGGGGGGCGCTACCATCGTTCAACTATATGGTTTCCAACATGGCAAAAATCGGAACCAGCGATCCGGTATTGACGGTGGCGCCCCGCTGTCAATGTCATGGATAGGACAGTTAAGTATTTTGGAACTATAGCTCGGCGACTTGACGCCTATTCTTATAATTTCATATTTAGCGACAAAGTCGCGAAGTCGTGACAAGCAGTGTGCGCCTACGCTTTTAATAGAATTTCTAGATAAATATTGATGTAGTCTTTTTTGAATTGAGCTGTATTATGGGTCTGATATTGAGAACTATAGGAACTTTTCGCTCCTTTAATTACTCCTATAATACTTTAGCCTTTAGCATCAGGTTGTTGTTGAACGACGCGCGCTCGTGTATTATGAAAACAATGCTCGGATCACTGACACAGTTCAGACTATACTTCGCCGTAAACTGGGTAGCAACAACTTCTCCCTTTTCTCAGTCGTTACACTCTTGACAGTGTAGTCGTAGTCTTCACAAGTTGTGGTTTATTTGTAAATCCCGGTCACCGAGCACGTACAATTTCGTCCAATGACCCCAAGCTACCCATCCTTATCGCTCGCGCGTAATTATATTGCTGTTGCGACTGTGCGACGGGCGCCCGCAGTGAGTGTGCGAGCCCGATAGAAATATAATTACGCGCGAGCGATAAGGATGGGTAGCTTGGGGTCATTGGACAAAATTCTACGTGCTCACGGACCAGACTATAGGTGCATGTTGCATCAACATCTGCCTTTTGTAGGTATTGCGAAGCCTACTAGACCAGCACCGACCTGGCACAGCAGGTAGCGCAGGCAGCCCACGGTGGGCGGCAGGTCGAGGAAGCGCGGCTGCTGCGACAGCATGCACACGTGCCGGCACTCGGGGTCCATGTCCTGGGATATGTCGCGAAACATTTATCAACTGCTGCTACGCTACTCTTCTGGATATAAGATTTTCTCAATGTTTTAGATAGTCCAATCGTAATAGTTTTGTATCGTTTATTTTTGAGAGAAATCACTTGACTTTTCTGTCATAAACGGCAATGACAACTATGCCCAATGACTTTTTTAAAGCAGATTAGTAGTAGCATGGAGTATTGAGTACTCCGTTTTAAAATGATATTTTTATGGCAAGATTTTTGACTGAAGGGAAAGAGAGGGAACAAAAAGGGATAAAAATTGCATAATTTATTTTTTGTGTAAATATTTATTTATCTAAATATTACTCTTCAAATATTCTACTTTATTTTTGTAAAAAAACCTATAGTATGTATCTTTTTTTGTTTATGAAAGTTGTTCTTCTAATATTCTTTTAACTTACTTATCTTATTTTGGCCTTCCATGTCTATTCCACTTTGATCACCCTGAACTCCAAGCGATACTGGTGACCTTGAACCATCCATGGATAAGATTTAAGATCTATTTTTCGTGATTTTTTTATTTATTTATTTTGACCAACTTATACTATCTTTACAGGCCAATAACTAATAATAAATAATGAATAATGTTTGTTCCAGAAAAAGACATTCACAGTGGTGCACGGCGGGCGCGCGGCTGGCCTCACGCTGGACTGGACGGGCGGCTTCTCGCTTAGCGAGGGCACGCCCGGCGCGCCCCCTGTCTGGTCTTACAGGTAAACATCAATTTGAATTATTTATGCAATCAAGAATTTATATATTATTCTTCTTTTTACACTCTTAAATATTATTCTAATTTCACCTCACTCACGTCCTATAAAATTATAGACATACTTTTTAAACTAATGAATTCCGTTCACGTGCGTTTCTTTCTGTAGCAAGAGCTGAAAATCAGTGTTCTGCTCTTTTGCGAGCAATATTTACACTGAGCTCTTTGATTTTTATATCGCTGCGGCACACATCTGACGCAGGGAACATTTTTAAACGCTATTTTTGTTTTGGTTTACGTGCTTATCATCTTTGTCTCCTGCTGTTTAGTTGCTTCTTTTTGTTATGTTTCAATTATACATAATGTGTGTGTTAAAATTGTTTGCAAATAAACTATTTATATATCTATATATTCAATAATCGTGATAAGGTATTACGAGTGGGTTCACCACAATAACACAGCGGTCTGCCAGTCAAACTCTGAACCGTTTATTGTGTGATTAGGAGAAGTACTATTACTATCTACTCTGTTAATATCATTTTGTCATCTATTATCCGATTTGCAGCTGCACTGGAAGTGACTTTTATATTAATTTGAACGTGTCCTATTTTCTTTTCCTTTTTTTTACAAAGGTGACCGAGTTTCTTCCGCCACTTCTTCTCTCCCGGAGTGGTGGTAGGGCAAGCTATTTGGGACGTTTATAAGCGCCCTGGAAAGGGCCTAAGTACCAAATAAAAAACTTTGACTTTGACTTTCTTTTTCTTATCCTTTTTATTAGGTTTTTTTTCTTTTTTGGGTTTTTTTTTTGGGTTTATGTATCCATCTTCTGTACCACATTTAAAGCAAATAAATGATGATTCTGATTATGTTCAACTAGTATCTTCCTGCACATTTATGTACAATTAAATGCTATGGAAATATTGTTAAATAAATAAAAGAAAATAAAATAAAATCTTTTTTTTTATTTAATTTTAAGCTTTGCTTAAGTTTTATTATTCTCTACTCGATGTCCTAAAAATATATGTTTTATTGTAATAAACGATGTTTTCCTGAATTTTCTTTTGATTTATTTCGTTGTGGTTCGACTTTCTCTGTACTTGCTACCTGCCATTGGTTATGCTGTCGATTCTAGTTCCACAGGGTTTGCAGTGATGGGAAAAAGTGTCCCTTGATCACCCGGACTGTGATCTATAATGGGGCTAGCTTGCATAGCACATGAAAATGTTAGAATGTGTACCAAAATAAGTACACTAGCGCTGTACTGTGTAACTGTTTTTTGGATATGTATTTGGATTGGAAAATAAAAGACAGTCTGTTGCCAGCCATTGTGTAATTTCTTAAAACATGTTTTAGATTAACCTTTTCTTACTTTTTTATTTATTTACTATAATGATACCTTTTTGCAGGTTTTCCCAACTACGAGGCTCAAGTGATGACGGGAAGTCGAAATTGAAACTCCACTTCCAGGACGCGGAGACGAAACTTATCGAAACTAAGGTAAACACACGCTTTTATTCATAAATAATAACGATTATAACTGTTTGAAATGATTCTTCGTTGTTTTCAGCCATAATGTTGTAGCTAAAATAACTTGATAAAGCCTGGTATGGCATTGGACGGGATTCTACGTGCTTACGGACCAAGCTTTAGATAATTTATTTATTTCAATAGTTTAAAGCTGTTTTATGTCGTTTATTATACCTGTTGTTTATTCGTCACTCGTGCAAGAATCATTGCCACTTATAAACTCTTCCTAAAATAATGATTTAGCTAAGACCGATTGATTTGAACATTCCAGGAGCTGGAGTGCCAGATCCTGCAGAGCCTGCTGTTCTGCATGCACGCATTCCTCACGGCCAAGGTGGCGTCGGTGGACCCCGCCTTCCTCGCGTCCATCCAGCAGTCCAACTAGCGCCGTAAGCCCGCCCTCCTCTAGTGCCGCGCCCGCTAGTGGCAGAGTAAATACAAATGAGTAGGTCATCTTCATAGAAACGCACCGAGCGCGGTTTGTATGTGAGCGCGCCAATACGTATGCGGCGCGCACGCACACACTGACAAAATTCGGCGCAACCACGACTGGCTCCCCGCTAATTCACGCNAATACGTATGCGGCGCGCACGCACACACTGACAAAATTCGGCGCAACCACGACTGGCTCCCCGCTAATTCACGCTAAATTTTGTCAGTGTGTGCGTGCGCGCCGCATACGTATTGGCGCGCGCGTCCGGTGCGTTTCTATGAAGATAACCTACTCATTTGTATTTACTCTGCTAGTGGCGGCCATGTTTGACCACAATGGCCGCTAGATTAGGCCACGCCCACTCGCCTTTAGTAGTGCCGCACACTTGTTTGTTTTAAGTAGGACTACCAGTGTAGGCCAAGTATTGCCTACGGTGGGCCACTAGCTCGATTAATATGGAGCCACAAGTGGTAAGCGGTGTAATGGTAGTGGCGACCACGTTAGAAGGGAATATGCATTTGTTTTTTATCAATTTAGTGATGGAAGGTGATTCGAGCGTGTTCATGTATGAAGGCTTTAAATTGAGACGGCTTATGAGGTATAAATACATTTATTTGATGTTGTAGTAGCCTTCGTTCTTAAAGTTGTTAAACAATATGTTTTAATGCATATTCCCTATTAGCCAATGGCAAAATCAGGCCTATAAAGTGACAAATTTTCATTTGTCGACAGTGACAGTGGCGGCCCGTATAATACTTAGCTCCTACTTCAGGCGGCTTCTAGTGGCGTGGGCAGTATGTGCCGCGGTGTGGCAGCGTGTATACCCTTCGGTCAGTCAATTGATAACACTTATGAGTCAATTGAGCAGGTTTTAAAAATCGCTAAGAGATTTTTATTTACGAAAAACTATCTTGTATGCAGTGTTGCTTTTATTATAGTTTTATATGATATTTACTATTGATTTCAATAATTAATATTGAATTGAAAATAAAATTAATTATATCGCCTAAATTCATCTGGTAACTGAAACAGCGAATGTTGAAAGACTTTTAGATTTTAACTTGACTCCACTGTTGTTTCTTCTACAGATCTATTTTTGAATTTTATCTCGATTGTTATAGGGGTCGGTTTTGTGCGCCCGCTCTGTAGGCCTAAGATGCGCGCCGTGATAACTTTTATCGACGTCAAAATGTATGGGTAAAATCGATAAAATGGCGTGATAACCGCTTATCGCGGCGCGCATCTTAGGCCTTCTGGGCATATTTGACCCTTCGTCTTCCTTGTACATTCCCTCTCGTCTTTAAGATCTATCTTACGGTTTGCTTGGACTTTCAACTTTAAACCTAATACTCATTCCCATAAAGTCTCATTCATCGAATCGTCACGTGTGTTAGGAGTGTTAAAATTGCCAGACAAATAATATATTTAATCGTGTGATTAGGAGAAGTCTTATCTTCGAGTAGAATGATGTGAAAGTAATCTTAATATAAAGGAACGAAAAAAAAATGATGGGAATAACGGTTGTTTTTCTACAATAATGCGATGTTCAAAATATAAAGCTCACTTTTTGTATGTAGGATTTTTTTAGAACTCTTATCGTAAGATTCTAGCTAATCTATGCTGCTAAATTATGAAGACTTCTATTATTTTTAGTTTATAATTACGCGAGCTACTTTGGCCTAACTTAAGCTGATATTTTTAAAATTAATCTCATGTAATTTTATGGTTTCTATAGATTTATTATGCTTATGAAATATCCGTTTTCCCCGTTTTTCTGAAATCTCACCAGTAATAATAATACCAAAGATTTAATCTTCAGATGAATCTTTTACTCATTTGTAATGTGATAAAAATGGATTATCAATTAAAGTATTATTTTAATTACAGAGGCTAATCTGGACTGATATTATCGCTACCAAATAGTATTGTTTACATCATGTCTAACATTTGCGGTAATATAATTATATAAAATATTATGAAAATAAACTTTGCGCTTGCGTCATATCATTAACTTTAAGTGAAAATTATAGATCTTATATTATATTGCTATACGTTATGGATATATGCGAAAAAATTGTGTTATATATTTGTTTGTTAACACATATTTGATATTTTATCTTGAACCATCTGCCCGATACAAAATGGCTTGAATATAAATAGATATTATTATCTTTTATTATATTATGGAACTTATATATTACGTAGATATTATTATACTTTAGTTGTTAGTTCTTTAGTGTGTTTTGAGAGAGGTCTTTCCCTCGACACAAAGTTGTGAAAATGTCTGTAGGCGATATTATTTTAGAGTTTACCTGTGAAGTATATTGCATGCCTTTTTGACGGCTCCAAATTATTAGAAAATTATAGCAATAGAATTGTGTTATGTCAAACATGATTTTGATTATTAATTATTGCGAAGGATTACAATTGTAGAGCGTGACATGTTGACTTCAACTTGTTATCTGCCACAATTCTATCGTTATGTTATTATAAATTCTATGTGACGTTCGACAGCACATCAGACTATTAATTGTTGTCGTTAATAAGCACTTATTTGAACTACGTTAAGGTGCCACAGTGCTTAAGTTGTGCTGCCGTCACACAAAGAAGTTAGAAAATAACTTAAATTCCTTTTTCGTCTGTATATCTCTGCCATGACAGCACTCATACCATCCTCTTCTCGATATGTGTGGGAGAGATGGACAGACAAAACATACACGAAGAGCATTTGGGAGCTGGTCCTACTGAATATTTCTTTTAGAGAGAGTTTCCTGACTTCTACGAAAGATGAAAATATGAATTTGATGGTATTTGAGAACCCTTCAATTGTTCATGCATCAAAAACATTATAATAAACAATTTCTTCAATGCATGAACATAACCAGAATGACGTATTTATATGTATTTACCGATATACTTTTTATTTCTAGAATATAAACGTTATATTATGTGGGTAGTGAATAAATCAACTTTAAATAAACAAAATAATTGGTAAATATAATTATGAATGAACGATGAAAATCGAATTATGTACGTTTAAAATGGTTTCTCTTTATTTTGCACATAACTTGTATGTATACATAGTTGCATTATATCAATTAATTATAATATACCTAATTATATAAAATAAACGACCACAGAAATCCCGTAGTTGTTCGCGGAATTTCGCATTTGCGTTGGACATATTTATAAATGTTAGTTACGTGTTTGTAAAGTTTAACACTAGTCGATATTGGGAGAAGAGTTCATACGATGATGCAACGAATTATGTACAATAATACCTTGTTTTGACATACCTTGTTTGGCCTTTTAGCCATATAATTTAGTTATTTTGGCGAGCAACAAAAATTACAAATCTTTTGATGGAGGAATTTATAAATAAGTTAAATACTCCTTCATAATAACGTAATGACATTAATTAACGTGCCCCTTAAGGGCTACCTTTTCTTTTTTTATGTAAATAAATAAATAAATAAATAAATAAATAAATAAATAAATAAATAAATCTTTGGACAATTTCACACAGCGCCAGCTAGCCCCAAAGTAAGCAACTTAATGCTTGTGTTATGGGTGCTAGCTTGACGGATACACTACTTATACAGGGTGTTTCTTGTAAGGTGTCAAGCCGAAGGCAGGTGATAGGTGAGGACTAGACCTATCGATTTCACCCCCATGTATGTTCTACGATTTTTCGTAGTTTAGAAGTTATCGTTAATTTTGTGATTTTTTCAAATTTCATGACCTAGTGGCTTAATTTTTTTTTTATCTTTTTTTTGGGTTGACTTTTCTCAGATTTCTTTTTTTTTACAGATTCCCTATTAGTTGCAGATATTTGAAAAAAATAATCACCTTCCTATCTTTGATGCAAGATACAAAATTTTTGCTAGAAACATAAAAAATATGCTTTTAGCAGAACATTCTAAAATTTTCAACTGAAATGTATGAGAAAAAAAAAGAATTTCCATAGGTCCAAAATAATTTTAAAAACTGCGCAGTTTTCTAAACTTTCATAATAACACAAAAAAACATGTACTTAATAGGCCATTATTTTCTGTAATCAGTTACTGTCTCTAAATGTGTTCTACATAACGTAAACTTAGGGGATTGCAAATATTACTTAGTCCTAAGAAAGTCAAAAACATGTAACGGAATCTCCGACTTACCACTTTAGTGGAGCGATTACAGAAAATAATGGCCTATTAAGTACATGTTTTTTTGTGTTATTATGAAAGTTTAGAAAACTGCGCAGTTTTTAAAATTATTTTGGACCTATGGAAATTCTTTTTTTTTTCTCATACATTTCAATTGAAAATTTTAGAATGTTCTGCTAAAAGCATATTTTTTATGTTTCTAGCAAAAATTTTGTATCTTGCATCAAAGATAGGAAGGTGATTATTTTTTTCAAATATCTGCACTTAATAGGGAATCTGTCAAAAAAAAGAAATCTGAGAAAAGTCAACCCAAAAAAAAGATAAAAAAAAATTAAGCCACTAGGTCCTGAAATTTGAAAAAATCACAAAATTAACGATAACTTCTAAACTAAGAAAAATCGTAGAACATACATGGGGGTGAAATCGATAGGTCTAGTCCTCACTTATCACCTGCCTTCGGCTTGACACCTTACAAGAAACACCCTGTATACATTTTTTTTTTATACATACATATTATACATAGTAACACCCATTTATGTAAATAACATTTTGACGTTAATAAGTGCCACTTGTGGTCTAAACTGAATAAATATTTATGATTTTGATTTTTTAACTAATCGGTGTTTGGTTTTGAATTGATATATTTTTTCTTTTATAATGCCACGTGTTTATAAATTCTCTACAGAAACGTCTCCCAGTATCGACTATTGCAATTACTAGTGAATTAATCTTAATTAATGGACGCTGGTTAATCGATTAGTCAATTTAGCGAAAATACTCAAGACTGAATGTGAATGTTGTGTATGATCTGACCGCGACCCCACAGGCTTCACACGGATAGTTCTGACGCACCGTAGACAATGCGAAATGATATCTCATATACAGTACTGCTTCACAAGTTCAAATTAATTTTTTGGGGGTATGTTCGAAACTTTATTTTGCGAATAACAATTTTTTACAGGTTTTTTGCTGATTTTAATGTAGTCACATCGATTGATTTGAATTGACCTACAGTTTGAAACCCGGATTTGTTAAACTTTGTTAGTGAATTTATCTTAAATAATATGCATTATATTGGTAATTACTTAAAATAACGAAGAGATCAATGAGACACATCGATGTAACGTAATGTTTGGAAGTTGATAAGAATTTCGAATTTTTGACATTCGATCGATTACTAACCGCATTCGAGTCCATTAGGCGGAACTAAAGTACGGATTGTAACGCAACGATGTGGGCCGAAATGTAACTAAATTATACTGCTCGAATTTCTTTTCAGAATACCATCATAAATATTGAATCCTGAATAGTGATAATAATTTTCATCAACAAAATATTTTTTTTGCAAGTGAAATACAGGGTGTAGCTCGCTATGACTGTATTCAAATTAGTGTATATTGATTATTACGGTTTACGATTGAGTATTATGCAGCCACTAACTTCGGCCCACCAATAAATCCAGCATCGACAGGTTGTACCCACCCTTGTACTAGTTAGCGGTTAACGCCTAGTTATTTATACCTATTGTTGATTAATGTAACTACTGTATCCATTAGTAAAATATTAATGCAATAATTAACGTGTTTCAATACCGCCATACCAAATACTTTTTATACCTTTTTTGTGATTTTGTTTGTGTTATTTTAAGCGTTTTTTTCAGTTTTGTATATTTTTCTAATAATTTTTACCCGCCATACCGGGTGTAGTGTGTGTTACTGAGAATAATATTTGTCTGTTTTGTATAGGGTTGGAAGAAAACGTCACGCGTTATTGTATCATTTATTTCCAAGCTTCAGGAACGAAAAGCTACACAATCAAAGGTACAAGCGACACACACCGCCCGCGGCGATACCAAACTAACACCAACACATTCAGAATTCGAAAGGAACGCCAACAGCCGCTGGATGTTGAACTTATATCGCAATCAACAAACAAGGTAATTTTTATACACCTTTTTTTTGTATACGTTTAAAGTGGTATACATTTATTATGATACAGTATGCTTTTCCTTACTAAAACGATCTAATTAGACGTAAAACCAGGATATTTATTATATTTATTGGAATTATAAATAGGTAGGAATGAATTTCACCGGAGATTTTGATTTGTCTTTAACATTTATTATGTCACATCCAACAGTTGTTGGCGAAAATCTACTTGGAAAATGTCGATAGAAAAATATGCTTTTTTACAACTTGTAGAAAGTAATTACAGAAAATAAGCTTTATTGGCGATATGAGTTAATAAATATCGCGTGACTTTGCGGTTTTTCTGAGAAATGTAAACGATTTGAAATAACAAAAATATTTGAAGACATTTTTGTTCAAATGTATTTTCATACAAAAAATACATCCGCAAAGTAACACGTTCACGAACTAAACCACACCATTTCCAGCTTATATACGTTATATAAAATCGCGATGAGACCAGGCTTAAGCGACAGAGTCCACCTACCGTATAACATCGACATATAAATATACTCCACAGTTATCTTTTCTTTATTGTATATGAACGGAAACCCTAGTGGCATTAGTAAGTACAGAATACTTTGTGCGTATCTATTACGTGTCTACATTATACATTTTTATGTAGATTAATGTAATAAACGAGTGTATAGGTTACATAAGACATGTATAAAATCAATGTTATAATATTTACAGGGTTTTTTTTTTCAAAAATAAATCATAACATGATTATGAATTCATTAAAATTAAAGATTTATTGTCAAGTTTATCTTAATTTCGCTCGTTTATTACTGTAACCAGGAACCTTAACGACAATTTGCTAAACTACGAAGATCTTCATAAGCCTACATGTTGGAAAAATACAAATTTTCAATAAATTCAACGTATATGGTAGTTAATTTTCATTGTATAATTTTATTGTCCGATACAATATTGTCTAATAGTGTTTTAGTCTCTGTAGAGTCTCTAATGCACAATTTTATTAATATTTTAGAGTTAGTCATTACCAGGCTTTATTCCTCTCAAAATTACATGCCATTTTTATATTTTATTAGCGGTTAAACGTTTTTTCCCCTTGTATAAAATAGGTTTACTTATTATACAAGTTCTGGTAATGACTATGACGTTGCTAAGGCCGTTCAGGCTGCTACCTAAACATAATCTACACACATGCTATTTTCCAATTGATAGGATAGTTTTTTAATTGAGAAATAATTGCATTTTTTTAACCTTATAAATCGTTGACAGAAAATTGACCGTAATTTTAAATAACATCATATAAAACTTTCTTAACATTTGAAAATATATTTTTTATAATTGTTTTTCTCTGTTAATTGTAGACAATAGTTAATTTCATAAAAGTTTTGTTTCCAACTATTAAATAAAAACAATTTATAAAGTTTTTAGAATCGATCAGTTGGAATGCTTCAAGTTCAAGATATGGTTAGAATTTCAAGAACAAAAATATTTATCTAATTCTATGCAATAAATACGCGATTTTCCTACAACAGTTAACATCGATTAGGGGCCAGTACATTAATGCGAGCACTAAGCAGTGAATCCCTTCTACAGTTAGTTCTATACATATTATAATTATTACACAACCATTATTTTTGCCTGTAACGTATCATGAATGGATTCGTTAGAGCTCGTAAATAAACCGTCCAAACCGAAACTAAAATGGAATGTAGCGAATAATCTCTATTATCAAGCGTCACTTCGACAATGTATAAAGTTTTAGAATTATTCATGTCACATTATCAAAATATTTATTGTCGCTAATTACAATTACTAGACGTATGACTCCCTCTTTACAAATACACACTATAATATTCTCCCTATCCTATGAGCAAGAGCCACTCGCGGCGACTCGAAGAAGATATGCTCTGAACACGAAACATTGTCTACATGATAAGAGTTTCTCAAACAGCATTTAGTATA